AACGGAGGGAGTAGTAAATTAGTATTTAAATGTAATTACCTCCACCATAAGAAAATACATTAATTAGGCTATGGGATTACAAATAATAGTTAATACTGTGTTGAATGACATTGAATAGAAAAAATAATTAATATACAATTTATATGATTTAGGTTACAATTTAGTATTAAAAGGTAGATTAATGTATATGATTAAATGTGTATATCTGTTATTTAATTAGAAATAAATAAAGTTAATTTATTTATATAGTCATTCTCTTTTATTTTAGAAAATCCAATTCTCATGAGATTAGTAGTACTTTAAATATTGATAAACTATATATTAATAGGAGAACATTTATTCACTTTATTCTAATTAGAATGACATTTCAAAAAAATGTAACAATCATGTCATGTGAATAATTTATATGAAAGTGAAGAGATAAAACAGAAAATAACTATAGGACAATATGATGTATGTAAGAGAAAAAAATAAAAATAAATCAAATATCTTATATCGTATATCCGTAAATTATGTTATCGTCAAATAATTTTATCTTTAATTTTACTATAAATTAGGTGAAGGAAACAAAGATAAAATGTAGGAAAATATCTTTGTGTTCAAATATAATATAACTTTTAATATTGTGGTTATTGTTCTCAAATTCAATAGAATAGACTTATTGCAATAAAAAATGACATGTGTCAGAAGAATAGAGCGCCAAATGTCAGATTCTTAGAACTTGTTTTGAGAAAACCTTGTCATATTATATAAGATATCTATATTTTTGTATGGTTTGCTTGTTAGTATGTATATATGTATGTCTGCGTGTGTATTAAGTATGCATAATTCAATGTATTTAACTATGTTGATAAAAATTAATCTTATGAACTAAAAAATTACTTTTTTTTTGAGTATCAAGTATATATCCTTAATTGAATTGGAAAAGACAACCACCTATTTGGACATGCATATCTCCGAGATTAATCAAAACCACATCTTTTTTTTTATTACACTGAAGTAAACAGCATCGAATCTTGTTGTCGGGTATATATCTATCTGATTAAAAGAAAATATTAGGACCAAATTAATTATGACTTTAAATTTATTAGCTTTAGCTGTAAGAAAAGTAATCCACGATATTTCTTTATGGTAAAGACAATAATTTTTGCTAGAGAATCCTTATAAAATCATATTTCTATTTTATTATCCTAAATAAAAATTGGGTTATTAATTTGGGGTTGTTTTCTTCTATAATTAACAACAAGATAAAAGGATAACGAGGAAAATGGGTAACTTTTCTCAAATATATATGCTGGTGAGACTCCTTTTTATTCACATTCTTGAATCTTAAATCCAACATTGGGCTCCACATTTCACAATACACCATCATTACTTTATTTATCTATTTATTAATTTCCTAACAATCTCACATTTCGAAAGCTGGCAAGCTGACGATGGACAATACAAACCAATATTTTTGCTGATCGTTCTAGTTTTAGATACAAAACAATTTATCTTTTGCATAAATATCTACTTTTTATCTGCACTAAGTCAAAAATTTAGTTCTTAGTGACGAAAAAAAGTTAATACGATCCGTTCATTGCCACCTCTCAAATAATCCTTTCATTATCCCTTTATCTATTTGTATGTTTGTAGAGAAAAATAGTTTGTTAAAAGCACGCATCAGGTCTGATAAATATATAAACAAACAGATTAGAATTTTTAAAAATAACAAAAAATTAGAGTTTGAAGAAATATAAAAATAAATATAAATGCATTACTTAAACAGCGATCGGTAGTTCTTTTTGTTCTTACAGTCGGTAATTCTTGGTTCTATTGATGTTTAAATCATAAACCAAAAACAGATATATTTGGTTAGACAAAGAAAAATCTAAGGTAACTAAGTTCAAAATTATCAAGAACATTAATTAAATTATGTTAACGATAATTGATGATTTTCTTTATAAATTCCAAGTGGTCACAAATACAAATAACAAAAGCGTGACATGACATTTGAAACGTAAAAAGCTTTTTTGAATTTTCCCTTTGTTGCCTTGTGTTGCAATTAAGCGGGTCCCACATTACAGCTTGCCACGTGTCGACCTAACGCTTACTCAGAATAACACGGTACTATTTGAAGCATGCACCTTGATTTTTGTCCACACTTGATAATCAAAATTAAAAAAGTGCATACATACGTAGTAGATTTTTCATTGGTAAATTTTTTTAAAAAAATATTGAGTTTTCATTATTATTTTAAATTATTTTCTATTTTAAAGCATTTGTTTAAACCGTAAAAACGTAAAACTATATAGGGTTTGATTGGTGAACAATTTTAAAGCTGTACAGCTTTGTACAGCTTTGACAGTTACCAATCACAAAAGCTTTATGAAAAACGGTACAGATAACATAAACAGTTTTTTTGGACAAAAACAAAAACAAATTAAAACGGTTATGGTTAAATACGGTTACGATTAAATACGGTTATAACGGTTACGGTTAAATACGGTTATAACGGTTACGGTTAAATACGGTTATAACGGTTACGGTTAAATACGGTTACGGTTAAATACGGTTACGGTTAAATACGGTTACGGTTACGGTTACAACGGTACAAAAACAAGTTTTTTTTGGACAAAAATAAAAACAGATTAAAATAATAAAAACTATATCAAACTAAAATTAGCTCTTCACTATTTTTTAGGCATGACCACGGTTACGGTTATTACGGTTACAGTTAATTAATCACCGGTTACGATTATATTATTTTTTAAATGTAACATTAACTATTATATATACGGTTAAAACGGTTACGGTTAAATACTGTTACGGTACGGTTAAATACGGTTACGGTTAATTAACGGTTACAGTTAATATATTTTTTAACCGTAACTAATTATTTTTTACAAATTAGAAACTCAAAAAAAATTAGTGCTTGTTACAATGGGTCTTCATAATTACATTCGACGTTCCAATATTGCTGATGATGATTTTGAGACCGATGCAGAAAATGAAAATGATAATGGACAACATGATGTAGATGTAAGTGTGGCCAATGAAATAGAAGAGGTGGAAACATCGAGAAGTAGAGCATATATGGCAGATGTACGTAATCAAATAGCAAATTTGTTATGGGAAGCTCGTACTTAATTTCAATTGTTTATGTGTTTACGTATGTTTAAATTCTCTATGTATGTTTGAGACATTGTATTTCAGATTAAAAAATTACTAAAATTAATTTTAGTAAATCAGTTTTAATGTTTTTATTTTATAATAAAGAAAAAGATATTTTTATTTATTTTAGGACTAGTTTATTCATATTATTATTCTAACAATAAAATATTGATCATTCTGTATAATTTTATTTTTCATATGTAATTATATATTAAAGTACATTTCTATGTAATATTTTTTTTCTTTCTAAACTCGGAATATTATTTATTATGTGTACCGCTATAATGTTTCCAATCAGAGTAAATTTTTAAAATTTGTTCTGCGTTTTTTTTTTGTACAGCTTTGGTGTTTTATTGTTTTGTACAGCTTTGCACTATTCCCTAACAGCTAACAGCTCCAGCTAACAGCTCCAGCTAACAGCTAACAGCTTGTTACCAATCAGACCCATAGTTTACCACTGAATTTTAGGGTTGATCCAAAAGAAATATACTACCACATAAAACCATAATAATCGGTTTGTTGAAATCTTGTAAGTGTGTAAAATTAATAAATATATATTATATCAAAAAGCTAAATTAATAGTGCATCTTCTTATATGATTTTTATTATTATAAATTATTATAGAGACAATATATATGCTTATTGGATGAAAACAATCGCTATCGTTGTTAATCGCAATACCACGTCATGGTCGCTCGTGTCGAGCCACTTTGACACAAGACGATAATACATGGTTGAGAGCTTAAGAAAGTCATTATCGACTCCCAAATCTCTAATATACCCTCCTTTGCCTTGGTTAGTATCGTAATTTAAAAGATTCGACATGATTAGTCAGACTTTGTATATGTGTCGAAATGTCGCCACTCTTTATCTCCTTTTAGTACAAACCAAACCACACTAAACTCGGCTGAATTATGGGAGATTATATATGTATTATTATTGATTGCAAACAAATGCTAATATTCCGGGACTAAAATAATAATTAAAAATTTCACAATATTGTACAATTGTTAATAAGTACTGTGCATTTTGAAGGTCAAATAAACTTTATAAAACAGATGTTTTCATGAATTGAATATGAATCTGCATAAAATGAAAGATATATAAACTAAAATTTAATTCTAGCTAAGTACATATAGATAACATTAATTAGTGAAAAGGATTAAAAAAAAAAAGCAAATTACATGTAACTCTCTCATGATTCACGAAGATATGAAAGCATATTCATATATTTTAATTTGAAATCAATGATAGGAATCTCTCTACCTACACCTATATATATATATATATATATATATATTTGTTGGGTCAAAAGCCTACATATATATATATATATATATATATACAGTAAAATTGTCTTAATTATTTTTTCTAACTAATAATTATTCATAGATAAATTTTAATAAAACTGTCTTAGTTATTTTTTCCTAACTAACAATTATTCATAGAGAAATTAATAACTACTACTGTCTACTGATACAGTTATTAAAAAAAAAAAATTCTTAACAAAAAAAAACATTGTGACCCTTTTTCTGTTGTTAATCTACATAATTACATAGCACACCTATAAAACTTAATAGATCTCTACAATAGGTTAAAATATGTAACAAACTATTGCATTAGATAGCTACGGCCTACGGTAATTAATACGTTTTGATCGTCCACAAATATAAATAGAAATACAATTTGATGCGTAACTAAAATCTCATAGACATTTATAGTTTTAATACTCGTGTTATATTAAAAAAACAATTGAAAAATTCGTAAATAAATACGAGTGGATACGATGGTGTACGTACAAAAGATTCCAGACGATAAAAACCATTTTGATTTGTCGTTTTAATGCGTTCCATTTTAAAAAAGAAAGATTACTAACGCCGACTCTCTCAAACTCTCTCAACCAAAAAAATTCTCCGATCATCATTCAAATGGAGAGTACAGATTCTTCCGGTGGTCCTCCGCCTCCGCCTCCGCAGCCAAATCTACCTCCTGGATTCAGGTTTCATCCAACAGACGAAGAACTCGTAATCCATTACCTTAAACGCAAAGCTGATTCTGTTCCTTTACCAGTCGCAATCATCGCCGACGTTAATCTTTACAAATTCGATCCATGGGAACTTCCCGGTAAGTTTAAAACAAATCCAAGATCATAATCCGATCAGATCTGTTTCATTTTTTTGTTGTGTTCTTGATTGTGACAGCGAAAGCTTCGTTTGGAGAACAAGAATGGTATTTTTTCAGTCCACGTGATCGGAAATATCCAAACGGAGCAAGACCTAACCGAGCTGCGACTTCCGGTTATTGGAAAGCGACTGGTACAGATAAACCGGTGATTTCAACCGGTGGCGGTGGTAATAAAAAAGTGGGAGTTAAAAAAGCTCTAGTGTTTTACAGTGGTAAACCACCAAAAGGAGTTAAATCAGATTGGATTATGCATGAATATCGATTAACTGATAATAAACCTACTCATATTTGTGACTTCGGCAACAAGAAAAACTCTCTCAGGGTATATTACAAAAATATCATTATTATATTCTTAAAATCTTGATTTAAAGAAAAAAGTTTTGATTGGCTAATTTTGATTCTTGTTTTGTAACTATGTAGCTTGATGATTGGGTGTTGTGTCGAATCTACAAGAAAAACAATAGTACAACATCTCGACATCATCATCATCATCATCTTCATCTAGATAATGATCATTATCGTCATGATATGATGATTGATGATGAGCGATTTCGTCATGTTCCTCATGGTCTTCACTTCCCGGCGATTTTTTCAGATAATAATGATCCGACGGCTATATATGATGGTGGTGGCGGCGGATACGGCGGTGGAAATTACTCGATGAATCATAACTTCGCATCTGGATCGAAGCAAGAGCAGTTATTTCCACCGGTGATGATGATGACGAGTATAAATCAAGATTCTGGTATTGGATCGTCGTCGTCACCTAACAAGAGATATAACGGCGGCGGCGTTGGAGATTGTTCGACTTCATTGGCGGCGACGCCGTTATTGCAGAACCAAGGTGGGATTTACCAGTTGTCTGGTCTGAATTGGTACTCTTGAAATAATTCGAAAATTTTTCCGATGAAGAATTTTAAGAATTTCGATTTTATATTTTTAAAATTTGTGTATATATATATACGGTTTGAGTAATTAGGGGGCATTGGGGGATTTAATTACGGTTGATTGTTATTGTATAGTGTTATAGAACGAAGGAGATTAAATTAAATAGATTGGAGGAGAGGTGAGGTATAACAATAACATATAGAAATTATACAACAATAGTTTAATTTTTTTTTTTTTTTTCATATGTTATTTTTCACTAATGTATAGGTGATTTATATTTAGATGTTTGTAGCTTGTATAAATTGATGCATGCATATATAAAAATATATTAACAGTTATAGAAACTAATTTGTATTTTCTGCAGCTATTTATTTTGAGTACCATCAGCTTCAACATTCACATGATTTAGTAGATGATTTAAAAATGACATCAGAAATACTTGAGAGATTTGATAGAAGACCCTAACTTTTAACAAATAGCCGATAATGAAACTATGTGCGTTGGATCTTTTATTTGACTTTGTCGAAAACATGTTCTTAAATTCAAATCGAATACATGTAATGGACATCTTTAGGCGTTTACACAACATGAATTGATGTTTGAACTTTCGATATAAATTAAAGACACCATACATTGCAAATCCACTTCGGATCCGTTACAGAAGTTGATGTATATTTGATTAAACAAGTACAGTATAACCAATATTTAGGTGTATTCTTAGAAAAAAAAAATTGAAATTGGCTAACAATTACAAAATTCAAGTTTGTTATTTGAAATTTATGTGGATTCGGTTTGATAAGTGCGGGTGTCAGAGTTTGGGTTGAAAAAAGCCGCATGGAAATAGTTGAGGTTGATTTTGGCCGTTTTCCCGTAGGTTTTCTATTCCAAAAAAAATTAATATATTTTTTTAAATTTTCTTTTCATAATGATAAATACAAATTTGATGCTGAGTAGAGAAATAGGAACGCAATATTACGTGTGGATATATATATATATATATAAAGATTAATATTTCTTTATATTCTCATCCTTAACCAAATTTGATTTCTAAGAAAAGAGAAGCCATGGCAATTAATGAAGTTCAAGCGAATCAATTTGAAAGGCAGAATGCTGCTGTCAGCGATGTGTTAGCCGAGCCTCTACGCACATGTTGGTGAGTTCATAACACAATTTAATTATTAGTTTCCAAAATTTAATGTTCTTAATTTCTAACAAACTATATATATATATATATATATATATATATATATATGTTCTTGTTACATAATTTTTGTTTTGAATCTGTTTTATTTTTACTATGCAGTTGTGATAAAAGATGGATTTATCAATTGATCATCATGCAAGTGCTCATCACCGGCACTTATGTCACGTTATACTTGCATCTCCGAAATAATTTAGATGACGACTACCATCCCTTCGTAGTGTACCTAATGTCATTGCATATGTTGGCAGCTATAATCCAAATTAGATCCACGAGTTGGTTTCTGGCAGCAGGAAGTTTCAGTCGTGTCTCGGGCATCACTGCAATATTTTTACTCCTACTTAAAATTTCTCCACTCATAGCTATGAACGTGTGCTTACCAATTCTTTTGTGGTTTGGAATTACTTTGATCTACCACTTATGTTTAATGTGTTTTGGAGCTATAGTAGACGTAGACGATGTGGAAGCTCAACTAGCTGCACAAGGTCTCCCTTGAATTAAATTTTGAGTTTTTTTTTTTCTTTCTCATGTCAATGAATTTTTAGTTAATTTTTATTTTTAATAAAACAAAGATTTTTATATCGTTATCAAAATTCCTAGTGTTTATTGAACTTTTTATGGTTTCAGATTCTATATTGATTCATTTTTAATAAAACTTTTTTTCTTCATATATAATTATTAGAGCACTGTGATCTGTTTATTAAGCTGTAATTTAAGGATCAAATAAATGTTTCTCTTGTGTATTCAAGATTCTGGTTATTTTTCTTACACATTAAGAGATACATCCATTTGAATATCTTCATCTCCTCTGTATCAATCTCAAATCTCCAGCCACTCTGTTGGCTTAAACTCTGTGTATATATACAATATGAAGCTGATTAGACCTGATTTGGCTTTCCTGCTTTCTCATTCCTGTTATAAACCAAAGCCATGAATTTGTGTTAGATCGATGTTCGTGTGAATCAAATGCGAAATGTGATACTTTTTTTCGGGATGTAGCAAGTACCTTTGAGGGATCAATAGATGTAGTAGAACTAGAAGAGATTTCGATGACGGATTCCGAGATTCTAGCTTCTGATTTCTCGTTCGAGTAACTGAAATCAAGAAAACAAGAAGAGATCACAGAGAAGAAAACGTTAGATTTAGAGACTTTGTTCTGTATTCCCAAAACAAGAATGTACCAAGATTGTTAAAGAAGTTTGATACTTACGTCGAAAGTATAGTGACCCAAATAAGCTCCACGCAATCTACCCAGAGAAGTCGTTGTTCTACAGGGACCAAACCGTATGTGATCAAATGAGCAAATGGCCAAAGCTTCCAACCTGCCTGCATTCAAAACAAAGGATGTTTAATCTTGAAACTTGAATCTTGAATCTTGAATCTTGGAGAGACAGAGGAAATAGAAGAAGGAAAAGGCTCTTACTGTTAACATAGGTAAGAACGTAGCTTTTAGTTCTTTGAAGATGCTGAGAGGCGATTCAAAACGAAGAAACCCAAGAACCGTGAAGTAAATACTATTCCATATAGCCGACCATACTGTTTGATCAAAGACAACTTTCACAGGAACCACCCACCAATCTTGAAAAGGGAAAAGCTCTTCACAGAACTGGTAATAGAAATGAGACAACGAGCCATGGAGAGTAAAACCCACTAGTCCTGATCTCAATGTTCTTGCTCGATCAATTTCAAATAGCGGTTTGCCTTCGTAACACTAGACAAGAAATCTCACAAATGTTTACCAAACGATTCAAATTCATAGCAACAAGGCATAGAAGAGAAAGAAAACAAAACAAAAACCTGAGCTATCCAATCTCCTACAGAGTAGACAACTCCACTTATGACCATTTTCGCCAGAACCGGGTTTTGCTTTAACGCTTCTTCGTAAGCAATCCAGTTATGTTGAGGCGCATATCTTAGAATTTCAAACAGTGTCCAACCCTGAGAATACAAAACCATAAAAAAGAACATTAGCACAAATCACATCAAGAATCATATAAAATGCTCTGGTCCCTGGCCTGAGGGGATGTACGGGTTTAGGCTCAGAACCTCTCTTAGTTATAAAAGAAAAAACATCAAAGTCAAAAAAAGAAAGCATTAGCACAAACAACTCAAGCAAGATCAGTTTCAATACTTACATGCCAATAATCATGATCAATAGTGAGCAATTTGGTAATGGCGTAAGAACCAGCAGCTAAAACAATCGTAGCGTTAATGGTTCGATCGATCATCTTCTCCATTTCTTCGTTCTCTCTTCTCTTCTCATCTCCTAAATCAGCTCCCGAAGAAGGAAACCCTTCCAACGAAAGCTGACCTTCGCTCGTTGCAGCACTAAACCCTACAAGCACCGATTCGTTAACATCTATCTCCGTCTCAGTACTCATCACCACCACCGAACCTTCCTCGTGGTCGGTCCGATCTCGGCTCTGAACCGGAATCACGTCGATTTCGTCACGGATCAACGCGCACGAAACGCAATTCTTCTGTTTGTTTCTCAGGAGAATTTGGGAACGGTGAGGTTTCAGAGACGGTTTAGAGAGAGGAAGGAAGCTACGTGGAGAGATTGAGGTGTGGAGTGAAGCAGCAGCCATGGCGGAGACGAAGAGTTGACTCGGCGATGACTCAGTGAGTCAGACTTGCTTCGGTTTCTCCGAGTTGGGGGGGATTTGAAACGGACGTTATCTTATTTGTGTGAGTCGTGAAGATTCCCCCACGTAGCCATGTTCCGCTACGGTTATGTTACGGTGTTTGAATTTAAATCTAACGGTTGTGATTTATTTTTCGACTTATTAATATGTTTGAGTTAGATGATGAACGGCTACGATTAGAAACTCTGGAAAGTTTCGGTATGATCGAGAAGTTCTTGTTTTAAGCGAATAGAAGATTCTTCAGATTAGAGGATGAGAGTAGTGTGTCCACAAGTACATGTTTATGATTCTTCTCAATTATAATAATATACTTATTTCTTGTAAAATGCTAAAAATATTTATAACCATAAGATATTGAATGATATAATATCCTTAAGTCAATATATGTGATGGAGGTAGTATTAGCCATTTTCCAATTATTTTCTCACACAATTTTTAAGACTCATTTACTTCTTCATTTCTATTTATATTTGACAGACTCTTAGCTTTATTAACTTTGGATTGATTGTTAAAATTCAGGTTTTCATTTTGATATTTACCTTAAGTTATTTGTTTTGATTATCTTGAAAAGATAAATAATCAACAATTGTTTATATAACGTGGATGTATGAACAACTAACTAGCAGTCATTTTGATGTATTTTCCTAATTAGATAAATTGAAAGTGGGGTTTTGTATTTGGATCATTTGTTAGACAGTATAAGAAATGCACTGTCATCTCAGTCTAACTGTTTTTGAGGCGGCGAGTCCACGATTTCTTTGGATTGATATGTCTGATGAAAATGGGTTGTTGGAGGAAGAACATAAAAGAGTGGATTACGTTCACATGGGGTTGATACGAGTTCTTCCGAGACTCGATGAAGACTCCCTAGAAAAGTATAATGTCTAGGAAAGAAAAAGAGCGTTATCGGTTTATGAATGTGAAAATAATGAAAGCGTTTTCTTGTTTCGAAAAAGTTAGAGGGAGGCCTGTTCATATTTTCGAAGGACTTGAATTGAAAATTGATTAACTATTTCTTCTTACACGTATAAAATAGAAAATTGCTCATGAAATCAATTAACAATTGATATCAAGTTTTGGTATCCATGGACTTAACTCGAGCCCTCATAGTTCATAGTGGGTTGACAACAACATTTTTGGACGTATGTTTTTTCTAACCTACATAAGAATAACATATTAATGGACAATAATGGTACACCAATAATTTTCTCCAAAACTCGATTCTCCAATTCCCTAACGTACAATAAATTAATAATAACCATATATACAATTTCTTTATCCAAAAAACAAACGAAAAAAACTAAACTTGATATAATAAGATTAGTAATGTTTTTGTTGTAGCCAATTTTTCAATATTTTAGCTCCAATTTTATAATGGTTTTAGCTTGGAATTGACTTGAATCATTTTAAAGTGTTAGATTCTACAGTGTTAAAATGAGTCTTTATGAATTTTAGGGAATGTATCATGAACCCAAAATTCTAGAATTGGAGGTAAATGGACTTTTAAATTTTAATATATAAACAACACCATAATGAGCTGTTGCAAAACTATAGATAAATAATAATGTCTTGGTAGTTCATTATCCGACCTTAGCTCAGTTGGTAGAGCGGAAGACTGTAGTCTGTGACAGCAAATCTTTAGGTCGCTGGTTCGATTCCGGCAGGTCGGATTTTTTTACTTAAATTTTTGTAAAAAAGGCCTTAATTAAAAACACAGAAGCGTGATGTACATATCTTTTAAAATTTGGCCTTATGAAAAAATAAAACGTAACCTCTCGCTTGGCCCAGTAAGGCCCAGTCCATCGTTATGTTTTTTTTTGTCGACTCGTTATGGTTAATACTTTGCTAGTGTTTATTTTTCGCAGCGATTTAACTATTTTTTTTTTTTTTTTTTTTTTTTTTTTTTTTTTTTTTTGCGATTTAACTATTTAACCATAGCAAATTAATAATCTATCAACTCAATTTATCAATTTCAATTTTCTTCACCCAGACGCAAATTATAATCACATAAATTTGAGGTTACCCACTGTTTAATGAAAACAAACGAAGCATTATGTATATAATGCTGGTGAATTATCAATAAACATGTTAAATCAAGTGGTTGTAATAATATAGTCATCGTCATTAATTGTATGATTAGGTTCAACGTTTTATATTTGCTAAATGATGATTTTTCTTTGAAAGCAACCATATTCATATAAACAATATCGTCATTAATAATTTATGCTCTTTTTTATTTGTCTGCATATGAGATAGTCATAGTCATTTATGGAAGATATGAGAATTAGAGGATGGGAAAGGTTTGAAATTTCAGTATTTTTCTAAATAACTATTAGAAAGCTGTTGCCAAAATTCAATGAATGATAGAAAGTTCTCAACTATAACGATGCAGATATATGCACAAGAAATTAATCAATCATAACACCGCCCATAATTAATACTTAAACTCATTAGCTTAGTGATGATATAAAAAAAATTTCCTTTGGTTTTAAAATGATTCAAGTTTGGATTATAAAAACAAAACACGAGATAATGTCCTACCCTTTTCAACATCTACATTGAATGTTTTTTTTTTAATGGATGTTAAATTATATTTACTAAAAAAACATTTGGTACATCGAGTGTAACGATTCTAAACAGACAGATTGATGTTTTCTATTTTACAGGTAAAAAAACTTAGCTTCGAGTAGAAAACCAGTAAATGAGAAGGTTCTCATATTTCTGATTTCCTGAGTTGCGAAGAAGAGTGATTCTATTTCGAATAGTCTTATCGATAGTTCTCTTTAAATGATGGGCTGTCCTTAAATTTTCTCCATACCGACGATTGTTTCTTTCTCTCCAAATTGTGTGAATGGTGGTTTGAAGTACATTGAATGTTTCAATACTATTCAACAATATAAAGTTTGCCATTACCTGCCGCTTGCCATTTTATCACCGAAACTATATTGCACTATGAATTAATAAATGCAAATATTGTTGGTGAAATGAGAAAAAAAAACAAACGTAACTAATCATCAATTAGGCTTTCAATGAATGTTTCGGGTAGAGGCGTGGAACGGACTAAACTAAAGTACATTACAGCGGATCTATTAGCACGAAATGTTCGTGTTTATTCGCATTATATTATATATGTAAATAATAATTTTTCTGAATTGATTTTTTCAAATTTTTCAATTAAGAAAACAATGTTGATAAAAAAATAATTGATGTACAACAATTCGTCCCGAACTAAATGTAAAATTAATCAGTAGTTACTTTGTTTTCTACTTTTTTTTCTTCCGCATTATTAAACACTACAATTTATAAATAGTAAAACAAAAATAGTCTAATATTTTTTAAAAAAATTGAAAATTGAGGAGTGGTTTTCTCAGTACCCATGTTTCTGATAAGAGGCAATGACAATGACAAACTCAACATCCAACTGTTTTATCCACGTGTCAAGCTACTCACACTTTCGTCATGACACAAAGCCTTTGCGACTAAGGAAATTCATTATGTGACATTAATACGCAGCTAGAGACTTTGTACCTACGTACCTCTTTTTTATTTCTATAATTTTAATATATATAGCTATTATTGTCACTGCTAAATTTTCAAACTTGTCAATTTACAATTATTTTGACGTTACAATACAAAGTTTAAGTGTATTTAAAAGTAGTAAACAGAATTTTCTTTCGGTAATCACTGTAAATGAATAATAACACAACAATTAATGTTGGTATATAATATCGCAAAATGCAAGTACTAATTTACATCAAAAAAATTTTAATTCATGTCATAAGTTATATATTATTGTTCTTATATATATATGTATCCAAGACTCCAATCTCTCTAAATTATTTACTTCCATTTATTTTTAAAACTCTCCCCACACGACACGAGTGAATGATTTAAACTTTAATTCATTCCTCGTCCATTTTATTATTTATAGCCACAAAATTCCAGAACTCATAAAATCTGCAAACCCACACAGAGAACATTCTTCTCTGATAACAAACCTGGTCGTATCCAAAAGAGTTTTCTTTGCTTCTCTGATTGGTCTACATATACATCGGAGTTTTCTTCTTTAAGAAGATATGGTTTGTTTCTGTTTCTTGGTTGATCAGACAAGGAAAGTGAAACGGAGCAAACCGGCGGCTGGAACTTGCTCACGGTGTGGCCATTGTGCGAGCATCGCCGACATGAAGACTTCGACAAGATTCTGTTTCATTCCTATTTATTGGAGATCTTGGAGAGCTGTTGTTTGCAGTTTCTGTGGCTCTGTTCTTAAGTCTTATCGTTGAATCAGATTTTCCAAATTTAATCATCAACTCACTGTTTTTTTTTTCTTTCTTTAATTTAAATGATGATCCTCCCTTAATTATAAGCAACACAGAGTTATATATTTTATAGAATGATATATATCATAGGGTTTGTTGAATCTTCTAGGATTCTATCTACCTGCAAGAGGATTTTCTTGTCATGTTGAATCTCTTGTAATTAGTGTTAGTGTATATATAATATTAGTGTGTTGAAGATGTTATCTAATTTTTTTTTACTAGTTTTTCTAAATCATTAGAACAAGTTGAATTTTTTGTTTTTGTTATGAAATTGTTGGAGTATTCAAAGAAATGTGTACTTAGAACAGTTGACTAAAATTCTTCAAATCATCCTAAATCTATTATGTTTATAAAAAAATTATGATAAACCTTTATTACAGTTCAACCACAGTAATTACCACAGTAATTACCATACTACTACTCAAGTATACAAATATAGGTGGTATATTGCTTTAAATACATCTAACTTAAAAGCGTAAAATGATCCCAATTCAACTGTATTAACACGAGCTCATCGAAGTCTAATTGGATATAAATTAGACCCGAAACTATAAACCAAAGTTTTGTTTTTATATACCATTTATCATGTCAGATATACATAATATTCCCACTTTCTTCAAGTAATTTTTTCCTTACCTTTCACAATTTAAATTATTTTATTTTCAGTAGTACTGTAGTAAGAACTTTTACGAAAATAACACTCCATTCTAAGAATTCGCCTTTTCTTCGGATTAATTTGGTTGTCTCCATTTTTCACGCTATACAACCTCTTTTATTTTCTTTCTTTTTTTTTTTTTTTTTTTTTTTTTTTTGCCATCTCTTTTATTTTCTTTCAAGCAAGATATAAATAAGACTAGTCTTAAATTTTGTTTAACAGAAATTTGTCACTTTTTTTTTCATGTCATTTTCTCAACATCAATAGGACGCGTAGATGAATCTGACAATTGAAATTCTTAGATCCAATGTAATCTGATGTGTGAAGAGAACATCAACACCATGTGTAGTGTGTAGCGGCGTAATAAATATCGTACCAAGTTTTCCATCAGTGTATATATTACAAACACATGGACACGTTTCTTGTCTCAAACCTTCTGAAAGAAACATCTACGATAGATATTTACTAACCTTTGTTAAAGCTTATTGGTAGAATCAAAGTTAGGCATACGTTAAGACAAACAAATTAAAAATCTAAGATTTTTTTCTAACGTGATTTATGGGGACAAAGACTATATATATAGTCTATATATTAATAAATGTTAGAACCTAAGGCCATTAATTGATAGTTAAAAACTCTTTGAAATGGTCAATGATCAATAATAATGTTCAAAACATTTGAAGAGTTATAAAATCGATACATTGTAATCGCAAAAGCAAGAAACAACTGTAAAAGATCTTATCTTCTCACTACATTCCTCTATAGCTCCAATGGCTAATAAGCTGTTGTATTGTGTAATTTTTTCTATGTTTTTGTTGCTTACAATGTTACGAGTTTGGCGAGAAACCGCGAATGGACCGCATGGTTCGTATAACAAATTTATATTGTTCGATTCTATTTTTGTATTGATGATCGTTTGTTAAGTATAGATTATCTCTGATACAATATTTCTTATGTTTTGTAACAGTTTATAATCGAAGAGAATGGATTGAAAGGCTTTTCGAATCTGGATTTGCTTGTCTTCGCGTGGGATTTCATGAAGATCAAAAGTACTTTAGGTCTTATTTTCTACAATAGCTAATCAGTACACATACTGATCAATGGTCATGTTCGTATTTAAATTTAATGAAGAAAATGTGTGTACACTGGCGTGACAATGATTGATTTCTTATGTTTTTGGTTGTACTGGCTTCCTTCAAATGAAGACAACTATGTTCCTAAATATTAACGCATGGAAAAGGGCCTAGCCCATGTCTAACTCGAATTTACTAATTAAGAGAATTTTTTTTTTTTTGGGAATTTTAAATTTAATTAACTAATTAAGAATTTAAGAGAACTTTGAATATCATAATTTAATGATGATTTAAAGTATAAGTTAGAAACCGCGATGATTAAGAAAAGATGGTGATTAAAAAATTTAAAACTTTTGACAGATATACACGATAGCAAGTAATTAAGATATATATGCGTAAAATCTTCATACATATTTTAGTGTTTAATTACAATTAGTCAACAAAAGAAATCAATTTTCCTTCAAATAGCGTTAATTTTCATATGAGTATTTTCAGTTTATCAGGATCGATTATATCATTATACACGCTAATGCATCCTCAAAACACTCTTAAGAATCCTAATTAATCCTTAAATATGGTGTCTTCCAAATTTAATTTTCGGTTGGATCGAATTGTATATTTATTTTCATAAGGACATATTTGCCAGCTAATCTCGGATATTGGGAGGAAACTAGGTTGTTTTTCTAGAAATGATTTAGGTCTGAACTTCTAAGTTAAAGGCTTTGGCCATCCAAAACAAAAATTCCTTTTCATAGCTTGTTTCTTATCAATAAGACAATTGCTATGGTTTTATTGTTACTGTTTTTATCATTACCATATTTCAAGAGTATTAATCTAAGTATCTATTATAGAAAAGTTTTTTTTTTTTTTTTGTTATTTTAATCATTGTCTTTGGAAGGTTATAAGGTTTAACAACTCTCCAACTTAAATACTTCTTTCGTTTTTAATACTTCATCTTTAAGATTTTTGCACACATTTAATTTTATTTATTTTTAAACTAAAAAATTATTTATTATCTACATAAACACGATTCACCAGTAATAAACTAATTAATTTTGCATTGAAAGTTGAAAATATCATCTAGTTCATAACAATTTTTTTTTTTTTTTCTAACACATAGAAGTATTAAAAAATGGAGGGAGTTATATTTTAAAATATTATTAAACTGAATCATTTTTTTTTGTCTTATGATCTCTGTCTTTCATTATCAACACACATGTAAATATAGAATTTTATAGTTGTCTTAGAGATTTCGAACCAGATATATATTATGTTGATCTGATTACATTTATATACATAAATATATTACAAGTTGCCACTTATTTATTTTATCAGAATTTTAGTAGATGAGCCAAACTAAAATATTCGTATCAAAGTTCATGCGGTTTCATCATTTCGCTACGCGATGTAGGAACATTCTTGTAATCTTATTTTTATTTGGTCGTTCTTCTCTATCGAATCACGTGGGAAACTATATATACCAAAGGATAAATATTTTGGCAGATACGTATTCCTAAAGTATCCGAGATTAAATATGTACACTATATAGAAGAATTAATGGGACATAAATCATAAATGCATGGAAACATTGGGGAAAGAAACTTAACACTTGGACGACCAATGTTGTTTGATATGGAGTGGAATTGACGCGTCTGCCTAATGGTTATGGTTCATATTATGTCACATGGACCAACTTGTTGTTCTTCATCATTCAAGAAGCCAACTCAGACGTTTTTTTTTATTTTTTATTTTTTCAAATACTCCATCTGTTTCAAAATATAGGATGTGTTAGAGATTTATTTTTGTTTCAAAATATAAGATATTTTATAAATTTTTATGCAAATTTTAAATACATGATCATTTATATTCTGCAGTCTTTTATATCATTAGTTGAATTTTTTTTATATTAAATATTAAATGATAACTTACAAAAAAAAAATTCTTAAAGCGTGTGTTTTACCTAAAACATCCTATATATTGGAAAAGAAGGAGTATCTAACTGTATATTATATTGCAAAAGCCAAATTTGAATATGATGCAAAAGATTGTTTATAGCAGACTAAATAATCCGATTACTCATATCTATTCAGATTATTTGTGTTGTATTTTATAACTAACTCAGGTCACTAAGTAAGGAATTTAAAGCTAAATGCATGTAGTCATTTAATCACACAATCCAGCCGTAATTTTTGGTAGTATGAATCTTTCCATATTCTTATGTTCGTAAATGAATTGTGAACAAATATTAAGCATCAAGATCTTCAAAATAGGAAAAATAATAGCCACAAATAAAGCAAAAGACAAAAAAAAAAAAAATAGTGATAGACGTGTCCAATCCTTTATGTCCTCACATTTTGTTTTCATTGATTTTGAAATCTACATTATGTGATTCGTGATGTACCTGTATGTACAATTTTGTATTTTGAAGAGCAACTTTTATCAAGTACCAAATAAAAATGTGAACAAGAATAGGCTAAAAAATAATATTAATATCCTTACTTAGAACACATAATTGTAAATTATTAAGGAAAACACATGGAATGTTTAGGAAAATGGCCAATGATAAATCTTATAAGAAACCTAACAAATATATATTAACACCGGTAAGATTTGTTCCCTTAACTCAAGATCTTATATTAACAAAAATGAAAAACGGACCCAACTTATGTCTATCATGTGACCGACCAACACATCCTCAGTTGACCTGTCTTTGGTCTAACCCTGTCTTCCTCCACAAAGCTAATAGAAATAATTATGAATATTATTCTATTCCATATGTCAGTATATTATTGGATCTTGTGGAGCAACTTGACAACATATAAAAGCACAATGCATCAGTACAATACTATCATTCCAACAAGAGAAGTGCTTGAGAGGAGAAAAGTATCAAAACTTCATGTAGCCAAAGGCAAACAAAAAAAAAGAAGAGGAAGAAATAAATGGCAAAGGAAGGTCTAGGACTTGAGATCACAGAGCTTCGATTGGGACTTCCAGGAGATAATTATAGCGAAATCTCAATTTGCGGATCGAAGAAGAAGAAGAGGGTGCTCTCAGATATGATGACCTCATCATCGTTAAACACTGAGGATGAAAACGGCGTCGTTTCATCCGTTGAGGATGAATCTTTGCCGGTGGTGAAGAGTCAGGCGGTGGGGTGGCCACCTGTGTGTTCTTATAGGAGAAAGAAGAACCATGAGGAAGCATCGAAAGCGATAGGGTACGTGAAAGTGAGCATGGATGGTGTGCCATACTTGAGGAAGATTGACCTTGGTTCGAGCAACAGTTATAATAATCTAGCCACGGTTCTTGAGAATCTCTTCGGCTGTCTTGGCCTAGGTTAGTGATGGCATTGACTTTCCCGTAACGTTAGTTTGTAGTTACATGACATGTTTATATTTGAGCTATAAACTTTATATATACGTATGGTTAGGGTTTCTAAATATATTGGAGGTGTGAAGAGACTAACACAAATACATTAGTTGGAAATTTATGAAAGATAACACGTATATATATATATATATAAAATATGCAGGAGTAGCGAAGGAGGGTAAGAAATGCGAATATATTATTATATACGAAGACAAGGATAGAGACTGGATGCTCCTCGGAGATGTACCTTGGCAGTAAGTTTATTATGTTCAGCTTGCATTATAATGATCAATTATCAAATTTACCAAAATGAAAATAATCAAAATTTTAGAAGTCACAAATTTGTATTTTAAAATTTGAAGTTTTTTTGTGTTGGCAGGATGTTCAAAGAACCATGCAAGAGGCTTAGGATCGTGAAGAGATCAGATGCGACTGGTTTTGGTCTGCAGCGAGATTAATCATACTAGTGATATATATGATCATCTTAGTTAACCACAAAGTTTGAAAACCGTTGAGTAAAATTTTTCATTATAGTAATTTTTCAAATTGTAAAATTTGATAGTGGATAATTTATACGTTTTCTTCAAAATTTATAAGGTGTTTTTGCTTAGCCTCACACATACTTCGCCTTACTAGTTACCTTGTTATTATTTTCTAAGAAATCAAGTGGTACGTAGTTTATTATTATAACTTAATAATCCTCCGGTTAAATCATCTTTTTATGACCGATCCAAAAATAGTGGAAACCTAATGAATCTTCATAGATAAAAGGGGCTAAAATAGTGTAAACCTAGCTAATGAATCTTCCCAACTAATTTAAGAAAGAATGAAAAATGTTAAATATTTGTTTTTTAATCACAAAGAGCGAAATCAAAGCCATGGCTTATTCCTATATCATATATTCATATCATATGTAGTTTCGGGTGAAGATTCTAACCACTTTTGTCGGTCCAAATAAATGTAGCCATATCTTCCGTATTAAATGATCATATCAATTGCAGGTAGCAGATTTGAAGTTTATATATATACTACATCCGATTAATCCCAACCCCTAAAGTTATCAAGATACACACACAAAAGCAAAAAAATGAAGGCACCGTCACAACAAGACATGACTTACTATGGCAATGTCAAGAAACAGCAAGAGGAACACGGCTGCTTATACGCAACGTCCGTACAAATATATAATCTCTTCTCTTTTCATTTTGTATGGAATTCGCAGTTCTTGATTATTTGATGATCTTTTAATCTGTTGTAGGTTTTACGGGTTGTTCTGTTGCTGTTGCTGCTACGAGAAGTGCAAGTGTTGTTGCTGCTGCGTTTGATTTCTATGTATCATCATCTCAAAATTATTCTCATTATGTGTCCCTCGCATTTAGCTCTTTTAGATCTACTTAGTCTTGCGAATAAATCTATATGTATGTTCAAGAACTCAAAAGTCTCATGATAAGATTGAGTATTAATGGACTACACATGATCAATGGTCTTAACCAATGTTATTCCCGGACCAGACCGGGCCAACCAGTTAAATTTACCGTATTATTCGTTTTTGGCGGGTTAATTAAGTCATAATTATATACTTACAGAACTGATTTTTATACTTTAACTCCTCTATTAAGCTACTAATAAATTTCATGTTATGTTTCGCCTAGATTTTGAACCGAATCCAAACAACATCAAACAGAAGTTTATTAAACCGAACCAAATTATAATTTTTTCTGTATTTCAGTTTTATAAACTGATAAAACAACCGAGCCAAAATCAAATGTTGATGAATTTTGTCTTAAAAAAAACACTAGAATTGGTTTAGATTTTTAATTTTTTTAATTAATCGGTTTATAAATAAATTTCAAATTAATTCCGGTTTACATATTTTGATTGGTTCGGTTTAGTTTTCTTTTCGAATTTTTTATTATAAAAAAGGGAAAAAAATACCAAAGTCAAAGGTCAGCAACAAGTCCTAAACATAGTTAGTTGTTGTCGATTTGATCAAATTATTGTCAGTTCATCAAATTTCAATCCAACAAAATCTCAAATTTCGAAATCAAGAACCCTAAAATCATCGTAATCATCGTGGGTTCTCAATCTTGTAGTCTCTTACAAATGTCGTCAGTAGGAACATCAAAGGGGATTCTTGAAATCGCCAAATTCGGTGTATACGTCGCAGTTCCAATCGTCCTAATGTACACATTCGCCAACAACAGCACCAACATCAAGAAATTCATGGGTAATCATTCATACGTTGTTTATCCTAAAGAAGCTCCTCGTCCTCCTTCACCTGAAGAGCTACGAGAGATGGCTAAAGAACTTGCTCGCAAAAAGAACATCCCTTCAAATTGATTCTACTTGTATTAATAAATTGTAAAAAAGGTAACTTTTTGTTTTTGATTTATTGTAAGATCATATCGAAAGTCACACACTTTGGTTTAAAGTTTTAGACTTTTGGTGAAATTCTTCTTATTGATGTAAAAGGGTACTTCGAAATTATTGAGAAGTAAGCAAATGAGAAAGCTTTTGTTGTTTTTAGATTCCACAGTAAGTTTTGAGAGCAGATTGAGGTCTTTGTCCAGCTTCTGTGTAGTTGAATTGGTGAAAATTTTATACTTTTGGTGAGATTCTTCTTATTGATGTGAAAAGGGTACTTCGAATTATTGAGAAGTGAGTAAATGAGAAAGCTTTTGTTGTTTTTAGATTCCACAGTACGTTTTGAGAGCAGATTGAGATCTTTGTCCAGTTTCTGTGTAGTAGAATTGAAGGAATTCGACATGGTCAAAGGGCTTGAACAGTCGAGGATGCTCTTCGTCCACGAGCTCGTCTGGTGAACTCACGATATGTCCTGCTTTTGGGATCGAGAATAATCCGAGGGAGTATCTTGTCTCTGTTCCTGTCATCATGACACGGTGATAAGGAGAGTGTAATCGACCATTCAGCAATGCCTGTGACAGCAAACATTTGGGTTGATTTTGTATTCAAGTATTGATTCTGTTTTTGAAGGAAAGTTAAAGCAAGGGCTTACATAGAGGGAATCTCCGATCATGACAATGAAAGAGTCTTGTGCTGGCTTCACTTTGATCCAGTTGTTATCTTTGGTCTGCACCTCTAGACCCTCGACATGGTTCTGGTAAAGTATAGTGACGATGTTTTTATCAGTATGAGCGTTTAGCCCCAATTTTGTCTCCTCTGTATCAGGTCCTTTGTACTTCATCACCCGCAGGAGGTAATTCGTTGAGTGAAGATGTTCATCGATGTATTTATCGAGTCCGAAGCTCTCCATGATCATTCTTCTGATAGTTATGTCTAGCTCTGATAACTTCTCGGAAAACGAATGGATTGTTGTGCTGGTAGTTACAGAATGTCTGATCAATATATGTCAAACTAACGGAAATAAGGAGAGAAAGTTTACTGACCTGAAACTGTTGTTGCCTTGAGGCCATAGCTTTTCAGTGAAGGCGTCTACTTTCGCTGCAACATCAGAATCATCAATCCCCATGCTCTCGTACAGTGGCACCATTGGGTACTGACCAACGTATCCATGGAACGGTTTCTTGGACACGTTTCTCATTTTGGTCTGCAAGGGTAAGTCGAAAAGCTCTTCTAAGGCCCCGAAGACCGATTTCCGTAGGTCAATAGGGATTCTATCGAAAGAGGCCTCGAAACAGCCATAGTCTTGTAGAGCTTTCTGGACATCAGCTCTGGTTAAGTCCCATTCGGGCTCTCCAGGTTGCAGGTTTTTGTTTGAGAAATCGATGACCGGAAGACGAAGAGGAAGAAGAGGAGTTTCAGAACCCATTTACTGAGACAAAGAGAGATAGCTGCATATGAAGTTACTGAACTGAAATGTTAGAGGCTATTTATTAATATGTCTCAAGGAATCTAGATTCCAATGATTCTCTACACAAGATGACAAATTCCTCTCTGAAGCTGAAATCATAATTTATTTTTAAACAAGAAAATTAAAAGTTAGGTAACGAAAGTTCATTTGATACATGGAAACAACTCGAGAGTCAAAAACAGAAAGAAGTTTATTCTTTTGAGAGGCTACAATAAGTCCTGAGACCAGATAGATCTCTCCTTCCGGATCCCTCGCAGGTGAACTTATAGTATGCTTCAAAATCAAAAGGTTTAAAGAGTCGAGGATACTTGGCGTCAACCATCTTCTCCGGTGCATATATCAAATTCTCTGTGTTTGGTATAGAGAAAAGTCCAGCCGAGTACCTTGTTTCCGTCCCCATCCTCACCACACGGTGAACCGCAGATTGCACCCGACCGTTCAGCAGTACCTGAAAACATCCTTAAACCATCATTATCATCATCATCTATTGACAAGTCAATAGAGAGAAAGGAGGGGACTTACATGCAGAATACTTCCACCAATGACGAGGAATGAAGAATCTTGAGAAGGATTGGCTTTGATCCAGTGCCTACCGTCTTTGGTTTTTACCTCTAATCCTCCGTCTGCTACATCGTTTTGGCAAACTATGGTGAGCACATTTCTATCTGTATGAGCCTCCATACCTAACTCCTCCTCTGTTTCACCAACTCCTTTGTATTTCATCATCCGCATTAGGCATTTCGTCGATTTCAGATGTTCTTCTATGTAGTTTTCGTCGAGTCTGAAACTCTCCATTATCATTCTCCGTATCTTGAAGTCCAGTTCTGATACATGCTTGGTAAATAATAGAACCGTCTCGCTGCAGAAACAGAGCAAACTCTCACCGACTCTTTAGAGTTTTGATATGTTTTTAAAGATCCAAATTAAACAAAGAGAGAGAACAAGCAAAATTCTAAAGATCATAAGAACCTGAAACTCATGTTGCCTTGAGGCCACAGCTTCTGAGTAAAGGCTTTTACTTTCTCTTCATTGTCTGCAACGTCAATACCCACTCCCTCATACAGAGGATTTGTAGGATTCTGACCAACATATCCTCTGTACTTCACATCAGATACAATTCTCTGTTTAGTCTCTAATGGTAGCCGGAAAAGCTCCTCCGAGGCCTCAAACACCGCCTTCCGAAGCTCAACAGTGACTTTATCGAACAAGGCCTCGAAGCATCCGTATTCTTCCAGAGCTCTTCGCACATCACCGCTTATCGAGTCCCACTCGAGAGTTCCCGGCTTTAGATATCGGCTGGTGAAATCAATGACCGGGAGATTAAGATCAGGTTTGGTTTCCAAACTCATCATTTGTTGTGCTCACAAACTTGTTCTGTTTCTTTTGATGACCACACTTGGCTTATATTCTGGAGGATGGTGATATAGTAAAGAGAGTAACACGTGGACGGTGAGAGATGAAGCTACAATCAACGGCCACGATTAGAAGCAACAGAAGATTCAACACTTAAATTCAGAAAACATTTCATTTTCTCATAATCGTGAAAAGTTGTGAAGTTTGTTGTTCTTTCTCATTGAGTTTTCTGGATTTTACATTTGATTCATCTTCTGTGAAGAACTTATGGTTCTTACAAGATGAATCTGGAGATTCCTTGTTTTAGGAACATTGGATCTCCTCCGTTTGAATATTGAATTGAAATAAAAATAGGGGCATCATTTCACTAAAAACTGTTGTGGTAGAGTGGTTAAGTCCTTGTTTTGAGTCTTGAACCATCCCTTTTTTGAAGTTTTTTTTTCAACTTTTTTTTAATGGGCCAAGAATTTATTTTTGCTTTAGGCATCATTTCATGTTGGGCCGGCCCTGGTTCCATATTACATAGTTACAAACAAAGTGTTGTCAAAATAGTTTCGATAAGATCAAATCATAAAAAAAAATTGGAGTTTTAAACCCAAGTTGTCTTCAAATGCTTATATAAAAACCCTAGTGGTTCTCAAATGGTTAGTATCGAACCCTAGTAGTCTTCAAAAGCTTTTATATGCCCAAGCCTCTGTGGTTTAGTGGCAGAGGAAGCTTTGGTCAAGGGTGAAACTGCCAGACCCGAGTTCGATTCTCCCTGAAAACAAAAACACATTTGTTTGGGAAGTCTGTCAGTTGGGTCTTGGCCCAATTGGTTTACCTGGTAGTCAGAAATGCAGGCGGCCTGACTACCCCTGGCATTAGTCGGAAGGTATTCCAAACTCAGATCAGGCAGTGTGGTGGCCCAATTCTACCTGGATCAGGAGAAGTCCACTCTGTAGCACCTCGGTGCGTTCCTACCGAGGCCGACCGGATCAGCCGATAGGGTTTATCAAAAAAAAAAAAAGCTTTTATATGTAAAAAACATGTATAAGCTTAATACATTTATTTTGAAGACCATAAATCTCAAAGTCTTATGATATATTTATTTTGCTGCAAACTATCTTTCTATATTACAATTACAAACATAACATTGTGTTGTCAGTACATAAATTTAAAATAAGACTACCTCTCTGTAATTTCATGGAAATAAGGTTTTATAAGAACAAGTTGATATATAATACACATAGATTACATTACAAGTATAGGGTTAGGATTGAGAACAGAGCAAGAAGAAGGGTTTTGCTTCAGAACCTGAAACTCATGTTGCCTTGGGGGTCAAAGTTTCTGAGTAAAGGCACTGAATTTATCAACAAAATCAACTCCCTCATACAGATGATGTGTCCGGCTTTTGATTTGGACTCGTGAAGTCAATGACTCGGAGCTAAAGAGCAGGAGCTGTTTCCAAACTCATCAAGCATATCTCTTTTTAGATGTGTCTCCTTTGTGTGTTCTTTTGAAGACCATCTATAGTACACTTTGTTTATTTTCTCACAACACTTTGTTTTGATTTATAGTACATAGAGATTACATCACATGCACACACACAAAAGAAGAGCGAAAACATCAAGAAGAACACAAATCAAGAAATATAATAGATCTTGTTATTATGAATGTAGATAGGTTTCATGGAAACAACTTGTATTGTTTCTTATTATTTTTGGGTACAAATTTTTTTTTTTTTTTTTTTTTCCTCAGAGTCAGATGCCACAATAAGTCATGAGAGCCTTCGAATCTCTCCGACCAGATTCCTCAGTGGTGAATTGAAAGTATGCTTCAAAATCTAAGGGCTTAAAGAGACGAGGATGCTCGACATCAACCACTTTCTCTGGTGCATATATCAATTCCTCTGTTTTCGGAACAGAGAAAAGTCCAGCCGAGTACCTTGTGTTTGTTCCAATCCTCATCACACGGTGAACCGAAGATAACACCCGACCGTTCAGCAGTACCTGAAAACATTAAAAACATTCTGATGTTATGTCATAGACACTATAGAAGCTGTCTTTATAGCCTGAGCTAAACTTACATGTAGCATAGATCCGGCAAGAACTATGAATGAAGAATCTTGGGAAGCATTGGCTTTGATCCAATGCTTATCGTCTTTTGTTTTCACTTCGATTCCGTCTGCTACACTGTTTTGGCAAATTATGGTGAGCATGTTTCTATCTGTATGAGCCTCCATACCTGACTCCTCCCCCTTTGAGTCTTCAACTCCTTTGTATTTCATCATACGCATGAGACATTTTGTCGAATTCAGATGTTCGTGTATGTACTTGTCATCGAGCCCGAAACTCTCCATTATCATTCTCCGGGTAATGAAGTCAAGTTCCGATACCTGCTCGGTGAATGATAGAACCGTCTCACTGCAAAAACAAAGAAAATTTTTAGGGTTGGATTTTTTCGATACTAAAACTAAAAAAAATAAAGTTAAGATCTTAAACCTGAAACTGCTGTTTCCTTTAGGCCAAAGCTTCTGCGTAAAGGCATTGACTTTCTCTGAATTGTCAGCAAATTCAATGCCCACACCCTCGTACAGAGGATTTGTTGGGCTATGACCCACATATCCTTTGTACTTAATCTCTGAAACAACTCTCTCTTTTGTCTCTATAGGTAGTCGGAAAAGCACTTCGGAAACATCGAAAACCGCCTTTCGAAGTTTGACAGGGACTTTATTGAACAAGGCCTCAAAGCATCCATAATCTTCTAGAGCTCTTCGAACATTGCCTCTCACCATATCCCACTCAAAAGTTCCCGGTTTTAGGTCTTGACTCGTGAAGTCAATGACCGGGAGTTGAAGAGTAAGAGTGGTTTCCATACTCATTATTGTTGTTGTCTCTCAAAACGTTCTCTTTGTGTTCATATATAAGCTTTTGAAGACAACTAGCGATAGATATTAAGCATTATTAAATAGCAAATACCATAAATTTCAAAGTCTTATTGTATACTTATTTTGCTGGAAACACTTAACTATGTAACTAATACAGAAAGACAGTTTGTAATATAGAACGACCGTTAATTGCATGGGTCATATTTTTGTAATATATATATATATATATGCCAAGTATATATTATAATAAATAGGTTATATCACAAGTATACCACAATGTAATTTGAATATTTTGCTTTAAGAGCCAAGTTGGTCACATGACTTTCTTTGGCTTAGAAGTTATTAGAACCCATGAACACACAAAACAGAGAGACTAGAAAAAACATGCATGTCTTTTTGCTTTGTGTCCATTACATTAGGATCAATTATCTGCTCTTTCGGTACAACAATATATAAGCTTTGAGATAACGTCACATCACATAAAAAAGTTGGAATCCACTGTTCTAAATTACGGAAGTTCATCGATTTTCGCTGAAAAAACCAATTTGGCTACAAATAGATGACTTTTTCGTCATAGTTTTGATCCACACCGCTGATAAGTATGTGAGATTATTGATGACGTGGCGCGTGAGCTGGAATAAAGAGAATGAGCTGGCACAGAGATTGGAAGACTCTAAAGGATCTGGAGGGTTTGCTGTTATGGATCGTCTTCTTAAGTAGCCATAGAGATGTTTGTAGTTTCCTCATGCTTAGTGTTGATTGATGTTACTAGAAGATTCTCCTGCCTGAGAATGGTGGATGATGAGCTAACAAAGATGATGTTTGTTTTTAGGCAAGACTAGCTTTGCCAAAACACAAACAGAGTTAGGTTACAAAACAGAGCAACATGCAAGAATGGTTCTGCTTCAAAAACTAGAGTTAGGTACCAGATATTAACTAAACTCAAATCAAATGTTTCTGCAAATTATAAATTCAAACATGTGAAGTAAAGATAACTTCTCTTTATGGTTTGGCAATTAAAGACAGAAAAACATCACTAACTTAATCTTCACAGCGAAAATTTATCTTTAATATTTTGATGGAGATGGGTTTACATGGAAAGTTGGTAACAGGCAAAGTTACTAACAGCAAATTAAACTAGTTTATTTCTTAATCTTATTTTTGAGGAAATACGTTATTTTTTTTTTTATATTCTCAAAGGCCACAGTAAGTCCTGAGAGCAGATAGATCTCTCCTTCCAGGTCCCTCAGTTGTATACTGAAAGTATGCTTCAAAATCAACAGGCTTATACAATCGAGGATGCTCGGCGTCAACCATTTCTTCCGGTGCATATATCAAATCCTCGGTTTTCGGAACAGAGAACAATCCAGCTGAGAATCTTGTGTTTGTTCCCATCCTCATTACTCGGTGAACACCGGTAAGCACCCGACCATTCAGAAGTACCTGAAAACATGTTTTACATAGAAAACAATCATAGAAGTTACTGTGTTTAAGAGGAAATTTGGTTTAAACTTACGTGTAGCATCGCTCCACCAAGAACGATGAATGAAGAATCTTGAGAAGGATTGGCTTTGATCCAATGCTTATCGTCTTTAGTTTTCACCTCGATTCCGTCTTTTACATCGTTCTGACAAAGTATGGTGAGCATGTTTCTGTCTGTATGAGCCTCCATGCCTAACTCCTCCTCTGTTTCTTCAACTCCTTGGTATTTCATCAATCGTACAAGACATTTCGTAGAATTCAGATGTTCATTTATGTAACTTTCATCGAGCCCGAAACTCTCCATTATCATTCTTCGTGTCATGAAGTCCAGTTCTGATACTTTCTCCGCGAATGACATAACTGCCTCGCTGCAGAAACAAGAGAAAATTTAGAGTTTGATATATTTCCAATCAAAGTTTCTTAAAACCAAAATCAAATACCTGAAACTGTTGTTGCCTTGGGGCCAAAGCTTATGAGTAAAGGCGTTGACTATATCTGGATTTTCTGCAAAATCAATACCCATGACTTCGAACAAAGGTAACGTTGGGATTTGACCTACATATCCTCTGTATTTTCTCTTTGACACAACTCTCTTTTTGGTTTCTAAAGGTAGTTGGAAAACCTCTTCCGAAGCATCGAAAACCGCCTTTCGAAGTTCGAGAGGGACTTTATCGAATAAGGCCTCAAAGCCTCCATACTCTTCCAAAGCTCTCCGGACATCGCCTCTCACCGAGTCCCATTGGACAGTTCCTGGTTTTAGGTCTCGACTTGTGAAATCGATAACCGGGAGCTGAAGAGCAAGAGTGGTTTCCAAACTCACCATTTTCCCTTTTAGAAACTTGTTCTGTTTTAGATGTCTCTCTATGTGTTCTTATATAACATTTTGAAGACCACTAGAGTTTGATTTTCGAGGATCTCATATGTAAAAGTATATATATATATATATATATATCTCTACATAAGTTTGATTTTCGAGGATTTCATTATATATTTATGGTTTGACAACAAGGGGGTGTTATTCAATCACGAAGTTAATATCAAATTTTTAAGGTTTAGATTTGAAGTTTGATATCATTTAAGAATCTATTTGTGTGGATTTCAGATCTCTTCAGTATAATTTGGACTTTGATTCGAATAATTTATATATGAAACTTTAAAGAGATTTCATTTCAAATGGCTCAATATACAAAGATTTTAAAAGTTTTTTTTTTAATTTTGAATAGTAATGAAGTATTTAAAATTTTAGTTGAATAATATCATACTTTAAAATCTAAAATGATTTACAAATATAAGATCTAATAAAACCATATTTCAAAGCATGATTTGAAATCATTTATCGAATAACATTGGATTAGTGTTGGATTACAATTCTATTAATCTTTGTAATATATGTAGGTTAGGACTTAGCACTCTTATTGTTGTAATACGCAACTTCAAAACGGTTTGATTGGATCAAATTGTTGAAAATGATTTATACTTTTTATCCTATCTTAATGATAATGAAACGCTGTACGGAGAGAACCAACTTCAATCGTTTAATTGGATCAAATTGATGAAAACGATTTGAATTTTTATCATAAAATGAAATTTTGTACGTAGAGAACCAATCATGTAGCACTCGGATTTATAGAACATTATCACTTTGATTAATGAGATAATATTCGGATTTGCAAAAAGATTATCACTTTGATCAATGAGATAACTGTGTACGTAGAGAACCAATCATGTAACACTCGGATTTATAGAACATATTATCACTTTGATTAATGAGATAATATTCGGATTTGCAAAAAGATTATCACTTTGATCAATGAGATAACTTACATTCAGATTATCACTTAAAAGGCAGAATTAGAATTCAAAACGGAGCAACCACTTTGATTAATGGCATTATTATTGTGTTTTTCTTGGAATCAAACCACAAGAGAGTATCTGTCTGTTTAAAATATTTTTTCTTCTAATATTTTTGTAAACTATAAATGCCAATAAAAAATGATATTGAAATTTTCTTTTAATTTTGTTTGGAATTTGTATTTACAAAAACTCATGCCAAAATTCATTTTTGTTTGGCAATGATCTTATTAAGTTGCAGTCATTACCAATCGGACCCAAAATAATTTGTAAACGTAAACACGGTATTCTAAACGTAAACATGGTAAACGCGAACACAAATGCAGAAAACAATTGAAGCCGCCAAATCCGGCATACAAAAACATCGTTAACTTGAGTCCACATGAGATGAGTGAACATCTAAGTATTTTCTTTGTTCATGACACAGTCCATTTCAAGACCTTCGAGAAGAGGGAACGCATCGCACATGCATATGACTAGTGTAGCTAAGGCTTCTCATTTACATTCTTCTTCTTGGTCTCCGACTCTCCGTCGATAGACCATGCCTCCAAGGCTTCACCGATTTATTTGGAAACCAAACGCCACGTGGGTGTGTTCGGTTTCAGATCTTGGCTCGTGAGATCAAGAATTGGAACCTTAGAAATCCAGAATGATTTCATTATGGTTGTGTCTTTGATCTTTTTGGGGTATTTAACGTGAGGAAAAAAAAATTATGTGAGATATCTATATAAAATTAATTTTCAGAAAATATGTGTGATATATAACCAATGATTATGACTACATGAGTACAATGTTTTGCTTTTACTCTAAACGAATCGTTGAATATTTGAGTCCAAAGATCCGTTTGAAACATTGTAATTCTAGTGAACATCCAATATCTATCTCCATCTCAAAGTACACGTTGTCAACAATAAAATAAGGTTATATATACGTTTGTAGCTCTACTGACTCTTCCAATGGGACTTCACCTCAAAGTCACGAGTTGGAGTCTCGATGTTGGGGAAAAAACTAGTTTTCCTTGCTCTATTCCCAGTCGAGGGGATTATGGACCAAAAGCCCCTAACCTCTTAGTACGTATAATATATCATCCATCAAAATCTTGAAAAAAACAGACAAAAAGTGTCTCCATGCAAGAATATTTAAGCACTAGAAGATTAGGGGATGTTTGATCATATATACATATTAACTTTACTAAAAAAAAAAGTTTAAAACTTTTTCATCTTATGTTATTGAACTTTGATTATGCAAGTAGAGAACCAAATAAGATACACATTCAATAAAACATTGGCAACCTGATCAATCTTATGACTATAGAGAGATGCTTTTTAGATACCACAATATGCTTTGAGAGTCGACTTTGCTTCACGCCCTTCTTTGGTTGCATAGAAGTTTATGAGAGCGATGTTATCGAATGACTTATACATAAGTGGATGTTCGTCATCCACAAGCTCCTCAGGAACCGAAACCGATCCTGTGAGGAACGAGAAAAGACCTAAAGTGTACCTCGTCTTGTCTCCTTCCATTGTCACTCTATGTTCACAAGAACGTATCCTGTCATTGCTCCAACCCTAACCATATATATCCATGAAAAAACGTCACATCATAAGAAAATCAATAATTCACATATATGCGTTTGACTTACCATAGAGATGTCACCGGCCATAACGACGTATGACTTGGGTGGGAGATGAAGGGAAATCCATTCACCTTCTTTTGATTTCACCTCTAAACCATTTACATCGTTTTGGTGAAGTATCGATAAAAAGGTCTTATCCGTGTGCTGAGGAAAAGCTGGCATCGAGATAGATTCTGGTGGAGCCAAGTACTTGAGGAATTTTAGTAGGTAAGTCTTTGATCCGACGTGCGACTCGTAGTGTTTCTCAACACCGTAGTTATCAAATATCATCCTCACCACTAGTCGGTCTAATTCCGCAACCGCGTTTGAGAAAGTGTGCACGGTGTTGCTGCAAAGGTACGAGCAAGCAAATAAAATTACAGAGTTAGGGTTTCAAAACAGACCAATCTATCGAAAATTTTAGCTACTTTGCTCTGTCCAAACGGTAAAAAAAAAATCAAAATCAAAATTCGAAGGAAGAAAATGACCAAAAGTGTGAGAAATAAATTAGAGATAGTTCTTGGCTTCATTTGATATATATAAACACTAATTATAATCGAGCTGAGACATACCAAAACCGATCGTTTCCTTGAGGCCACATGAGACGAGTGAATCTCTGAGCATCTTCTTTGTTGGTAACATAGTCAATTCCAAGGCCTTCGTGAAGAGGGATCACAGGCATTTGACCAACGTAGCCGTGGTACGGCTTCTCATTTACGTTCTTCTTCTTTGTCTCCGTTGGGAGATCGAACAGTTCCTCAGCTGCGGTGAAGATGGATTCGTCTAGTTGCTGTGTTACCCCGTCGCACACGGCCACAAAACAGCCGTATTCCTCCAAGGCTTCACAAGCTTCTCTGGAAATAGAAAGCCATGTGGATGTGTTTGGTTTCAAATCTTGTTGGCTGGTGAGATCAAGAATAGGAATCTTAGTAGTCTTCAAGATTGAGTCCATATTGGATTCTTTCTTCTATTTTGATCTTCTTGTGTTAATCACTAATCAGCAGCACTTGCTATTTATAGAGAATTTTTATTATACAACAATCCGCTACAAACCGAATCGAAAATTTTCTATCCGAAAACCGAATTGAGTTTTCATATGGATACAATGGTTAATTATTCTTTTCTACATTCGAAAACTCGATCCGGTCTGCAACCAAACCTACTGGTTCATACCCTTTGATATTTTGATAGCTACTTTTCTTAAAGAAACTATCGGATATGTTAGTTTATAATGTGGTCCAAAGATTCCGATGACGAATAAATATTACATTACAGTATTGTCCATATAGATTACGGTTACTAATATTACATTATAGCGTGGTCCATGGATTCGATAGACTAGTAATATTACTATATATTGTGGTCCATGGATTACCGTGACTAGTAATAGGACTATAGAAATATTTTGTTTTCATTCAAAAACGGATAGTTGAAACCTAAGAAGTAAGATCCCTTCAACATTTGTCTTCTAATGAACACCCAAAATCCATTTTCATCTCAGAGATTATTCCATCATCCATAATAGTCTAAGATTATATATATGTACCTTTAACATAAGGAATGATCCACCAAAAAGGCAAATTAATACCCACCAAACTCTTAAAAGAAAATGACAAATAAAATGTCTCCTAAAATACCTACATTAGATTTCTCAAGGGAAGATTTGAAACCAGGCACAAGGTATTGGGCATCAACAAGTGAAAACATCAGACAAACACTTGAAGAATATGGATGTTTCATCATAGATCTTAAAGACAAGACTCCTTTAGATCTTCTTGATCAAGTCTTTGGTTCTTTGGTCGACTTGTTTGATCTTCCGACTCAGACCAAAATGAAGAACAAATACGATAAGCCCTTAAATGGCTACGTTGGTCAGATTCCAGCTCTTCCTCTTCATGAAAGTCTTGGCATTGATAATGCCACTTCCCTAGAAGCAACTAGAAGCTTCACGGGTTTGATGTGGCCGCAAGGCAACGAACATTTTAGGTATGTATAAAAGGATCCGATCCATTTTATAATCTCCTCAACTATATATTGTTTTCCGATATTTAAAGTTTTAAACCTTCAACTTTGCTCGGTTTTTGTTAGTGAGTGTTTGCATAAGTATGCGGAGTTTGCAGCCAAGCTTGATCAAATGGTGACTCGGATGGTTTTCGAAAGCTATAATGTTGAGAAATACTATGATTCATACATCAAATCAACCACTTACCTTCTCCGTGTGCTGAAGAATCGTGCACCGAACAATGAAAACCCTACTTTAGGATTTGTTACACATACAGACAAGAGCTTCACAACAATACTTCACCAAGATCAAGTCAATGGTCTAGAAATGGAAACTAGAGAAGGAGAGCGAATCAATATCAATCTATCATCACCTTCGCTCTTCATGGTTGTCGCAGGCGATGCATTGATGGTAAAGTTAGGCTATAATACAAAACTACAATTCTATATTAAGACAAACATAAACTGAACTCATTGAAGTGTATGTATACCTTTAGGCATGGAGCAATGATAGGGTTTGGTCTCCGCGACACCAAGTTTTAGTGAGCGGTGAAACAGACAGATACTCTCTTGGGATGTTTGCATTCAACAATGGAACTCTTCAAGTACCAGAAGAGCTTATTGATCATCAACATCCTCTCATGTATAAGCCCTTTGATCATCTTGGTCTTCTTCGATTCTACCGTACCGACACAGGTTACAAATCAGAGTGCCCTATCAAAGCCTATTGCGGAATTTGAACCGCTTCTGTTATGGATGTATCCACTATTTAAAGCTTCACAAATGTAAAATGTAATAATCTTAAAGTGAAAAAAATAAGTGTAATCTTACTCAGAAAACATATATACTTGCATGGTAGGTTACAAAGAAGGACATGATCCATTTCTTGGTTTGTAATCAGACATCAACTAATACACAAAATCGAGTACAAAATCATTCATCATCACTGCGATTTCCATTGACACCGACTCCAGAAACCATTTCGGATTCAGACATTACTCTCTCGTACTTAACAGAACGAGAAGGGAGAATCCTAAACCGTCCAAAGGATAAAGCTTGTGAAAGCTTGTCATAGTCCCATCTCTGCTGAACAAACACAATGACAGCAAGTAGAATCGCGGTAACAGGTATCGCGATATCTCCAAACTTAGAGAAGAAGTCGAAATTCGGATTAACAAACTCATGTTCTTCTCCGATGAAGTAAGGATCAGGAACAGAGCCAACAATGTAGTCATAAGCGTGCGGGAAAAGCCTGACAAGTGTGATCCCGAAGTAATATAGCTTCCTTAGTGGCTGCCGGGAATCGATCTGCCACATAACATTAGCAATAACCTGAGGAAGCAAGAAGAAATCTTGAACCAAACCAATATACTCCTCTGTTTCAGTTTGCCACCAATTTGAAGCAGCAGATCCGTAACTTCCAACAACTAATCTATCTGCTCTTGCGGGATGTCGAATCAGGGCGATTATGTATCCTAGTGCATGTAAGATCAAAGCAATGAGAAGTACACGGCGATCACTTGGAACATTATGCGGTTCTTGAGGTGTTCGAGTGAGCAATCTGGCACGGGACTTCCAGACTTTCTGACATAGCCTTAGAGTTAGTAGAAAGCAAACCATCACGAGGAGCTTCACGGTGTAATCAATCACATTGAACCATTGACTTCTCTGTAGATCATATGAAGGTGTTTCATATGTTGTTGCTGAAGCTGCTTTCCTTTTAAAGAGAGCCTCTGCTCCGGTGATCAACGGCAAGCTATAACCGAGAGCTTGAACTCCTAGCATTACAAGCGAAACGAAAGGAAGCGAGTCGGTATTGCTACTGACGTAAAAAAGCTGGCTCGTAATGCAACCGATAGAGAATGTAAGCGTGAGAACCCTGAGGATCCCTTCAACGCCTGCACGAGAAAGAATGTCTTCACGTTGCCTTCGGTAAAAGATAGGAGTTGTTTTGAGCTTCACCGGTTTAAAATAGAGAGGATCATCTTCTGGTCTGTTGCTAGATATTGAAACCTTAGCAGTTGGATCAGCCAACCACCGTGATTTGATCGGTGGATAAGAAACCACCACGTCGATCAAACAATCCAGCCCAGCTTCTAGATCAGGACTCTCAAACAAGATTTTCCACGAGGCTCTCACGTCTCTGCATCCGACAAGATACATTCTCCCAACATGCTCATCGTAAAGACCTTCCAAGTAAAGAACAGAGAAGTTACCAAAATTTTTCCCTGTAAGTGAGATTTGAGCTGATACATTCAGAAGAAGCTGTTTCTCAGTGTATTCAGCTTTTGTGCGGTAAGGAGTCGTAGTTGTCTGTTCCGCGATGGAAAAGTTCGAAGTACGCCAGAAAAGTCCGAATAAAGGACCGAGCGAGAGAACATCCATGCCGAAATTAGTCCCTGAGGCCTGCTTGTCGGTAAATGCAGGGGTATGGAAAGTCAAGTCCTCAGCTAGAAGAGAAAGGCTCGAAAGCAAATCATCAGAGTCTTCCAATTTCGGAAAATGCATTACCGACTTCTTGATTATTGTTCCGAAAGAGAACTCTTCATTTTTCTCAAGGATGGCACCAGCATCATCTAACTTCGAGTAACTATAAAACGGATGCGAAGCCGAAGACTGAAAGTAATTCTGCATATCCATAGGCTCCACAAGCTTCTCAAACGACAACGGGAAGAAAGACGGAGTCAAATTCTTCTCTGTATTTAGGCAGGAGAAAGTTCCTACAAGTATACTTCGCTGCCTTATCGAAAAAGTAGTTGGAATATACAGACAGATACGAGCGTTGCAGCCATCGACTTGGCCTCGCCTGCACCCAACCATACATAACTGCCCGCTAGAAGGTTTCCAAATCCCTTCAGCTGTAACAGTCATATTATCTATCCCTGATCTCAACCCTGAAATGTAAAGATTCTCATTCGGATGAACAGCACGAAAAACCGCCGAGACTTTTGTAACAGCATCCGATTGAGACCGAGCTGCGGTTTCCTCACAATGTACATTTTGCATATACAACTTCACATCTTTAAAGCTACCATCCGTCAATTTAATATCTCCGTCAGACGCAAACGGACCTAATTTGCTGCAGTACTCATCAGTACCGTTGCATTTCCAGTTAGGTACAACCGTGAGAGGCGCGCGGTTAGTAACTCTTTGAAGAAGATCACAGAATCCTTTCCCTTTGTAGACATTGATACCATTTCCAGAACTCGTAAAAGTATCGTTTTTATAAGGATATGGATCACAAGCCTTTGATACCAAATCATTAGAGACGAAATCGTATCGAACCGATTTCCCAAGCTGAGAAAAAAGATGGACCTTGTCGAAAAACTTAAGACTAGGCTTCTGGTTTAGACTAGTAAGCTCTCCTTGAACAACTCTTTTCGTCAATGTGAAGCTTTTCGGATACCGAAGAAGAAGCAGGATCTGATCATCTTGTAAAAGAGGAGGTGTGTCATGTTCCTTAACCCATTTCCATGGATTAGAAGAATCAGATTCATCACGAGAAGGTAACATTGTTTCACCAAGCATACACAAAACTCTTTCATCATCATCATTCTCAACATAAATCCCTTGAAACGAGATCTTAAGCTGAGTATGACTCGGCCATAACTCGAACTCACGAATCCCATAAGATCTTAAGCTTGGTAATTCATTAAACATTGTGATCGCTAGAAGCAAAACACCATTAACGCCAATGTATTTCTTGGTTCGATGAGGAAGATCTAGATCTGTGACTGAGAAAGAAACAAGATTCATAGGCTTCGTCGACGAGTTTCTTAATGTGTTGGTTGAATCAAACGGTAGAATCGGAGAATCACCAGAATCTTGATCCCAATCTCCGTATTGAAAACCAAGATTCTTTTTTGATTTTCTAGGAGCCCTAGAGATATCTTCAAGCTTTAACTCAGAAGCTGAAGATAACACTGATTTGCATTTTCTCTTCACTTCATTGATCCGATCGTAGCTAATCTTTGGGGCGGATTCATCTCTGTGTTCACCGATTGATTCAAAAACAGGTATGGGCTCCATTTCCGAGAAGGAAGCAATTACGAGAGAAGAGAAGAACCCAAATGAGAGAAAGATCAAAGGAAGGAGATTTATTACCGTTTTCATAGTGACAAGAACAGTAGAAGCTTTGGTCTGGAGGAGAAAAAAAGACAGGAACTTTCGAGTCGCGACAATTGGTTTTTAGGACAAAGATGGAAACTTTGATTAAGGGTACGAAAGAGAAGAAGTTGGGATTGGTTTATGAGTTTCTCTGTAATATTTGATTTGGTGAAGAAGTTACATCACTGGTGACGATGACACAGATCGAGAGAGACGATTACAAACTCGAAGCTAAGCATTAAGCAGAACAGTGAACAGAGAAAAGTCTTTGGAAATTTTCTTTTAATTTATTCGAACAATTATTTCCCCTTAATTTAATTTTTTTTTGGTAAGCTTTTCCCCTTAATTTAATTTTTTGTCAACATTCAACAAGTTATATTACTCCAACATTTTACTCTTTTTTTTTCAGTAAAATAAAAATTAATAATCTTGGTTTATCTTTCATTAAAACTCTAATAGGTTTCACAATTTCGTGAATAAAAAGCATGATTTTTTTAATCGGATTCTTATAATCAGCCGTCTAGATTCTTTAACATTTAAGCAGTAAAAAAACGTCTAACGATCGATAATTTAGAATTTTTTTTTATAGACATTCGACCATTCAGCTCATACGTTTGATTAATATATTTAGAATTTTTTTATTACTAAAAATGGAAAAGTAAATTTATATTTATGTAATGTAAAAAAAAAGAAAAAAAAAAAAGACAGAAAAAAAATCCAGACTAATTGATTAAACAGTTATTGGAAAGGATTTAAAACTCAACCAATCACATTCACACCCAAAATCTTATCCTGTTGTCCAATTAGCGCATAACAAAGTTTTGAATAAATAAAATGAGTCTTATCAAAAAAATAAATGAATTGCAATCACAATTTTTTAGTTGTTGGTTCAATAAATTTGTTTAGTGACTAGTGAGTGGTTGACTTGACTTTTAATATGGAGGAGGAGGCGTGTTCGACGGGATATGTTTGGGTTTTAAGTGCGATCCCATTGACATTGACTTACTTTAGTTTTTTTCGAACCATTATATACTCCAATTTCATTCGTACATATAGAAAATTTCAACGACAAATAAGTTGGGCCTGATATTATTTGGGCCCAAATATTTGGCCCATAGATTGTATAGAGCTAATGTAGGTTTACAGATCGCGGCTAATGCTCAAAGTGAAAGACCTAAAGCAATGGGAAATTGAAGAGGAACAAACCAAGACAATTAGAAAATGTTTGAAAAACTCTTGTAGACTTGTAGTGTTTCGAAGATAAGAAATAAAGTGATGATAAAACAGAGAAACTATATGTACAAGAATCTAAGAGAGTTTTGGAGAAGATAAAACCATTGAGAAACTTGACCCACAAGCCATCGATATGACTTTATGAGCTTACAAAATGTTAGATTCAGAAACAAAGACTGAAGAACAAATGGACAACAGGGTAACAACAAGAACAGAAACTAAAGACGATAAAGACGGTTTTTCAAGACATAGATTTTCTCCACCTAGAAGGTGTTCTTCCTTTAACAAGCTTTGTCTTCATATTACCAGGCGTTTGAGTCGCATACTCATACTCTTCACCTTCTCTATTATCACCAAAATCTTCACCATTTGTGTTTTCCACAACGCTAACGCTTAAACCGCTCCTAAATCCCAACTTCTTCCACCTAAAAAAACCTTTATTACCACTAGTACAAGTACCTTTCTTTTCAATCAGCTTATGTAACTGCGTTTGCATCGCTTCACACTCGCTCTTAAGCTTCGCCATATCCTCTCTCAATCTTCTTATCTCTGCTTGCTGAACATTTATCTCGCGTTTGGACATACACCGCGCAGGACCAGACTCTGAGTAGTGTGAACCAGAAGGATTAGGGCTGCTCCTAGCACCACTGAATGATAAGCCACTCCACTCAATGTTGTTGTGGCTGCGATGAATCAGCTTTGCCTGCTCAGAGAACAGAACTTGAATAATAGTTCTAACCGGTAAACGATCATTCTGTGCAGCGTGAAGAGATGCCTCCATTGATAGCTTCTTGCTGTCTATTAGTCCACAAAGTCTCTTCCTTTCTTGCTTGGTCACTTTAGGATGTGCCTAAACAATAAAACCAGAATTCAATTTGAATCAAACCCATCAAAAATTACGCTTAAATTTATCGACTTTTTTAATCTTAGGACATAAAATAATATAAATGTGAGACAGACTAATCCATTCATTGCCAATTAATTTTAAGTCGGGAAGCTCATGAAACTTAACATTTACCTTGAGATAAGTGTCGATTGCGCGGTATAACCCATCTTCTGTTACACGAGCATGGTTAGGGAGAGCTTCCGCGAGGGAAATAAACTCCGCGAGGCTTAAATCGCCGTCTAAGGCAGCTTCCGCTAAGTAAGAGTCGACGAGCTTCGCCACTTTAACCAGAGAAGCACCGGATTTGACTCCTTCGTTGCCTAATCCGGCAAATTTCTTAACCAACCGAGTCACGAGCTCAACGTCGAGCAATGTCCCGCACAAGTGACTAAAGGAAGGTATCATTAGCTCCTTAAGGGAAGCTTGATCGAGCTGCCATGAAACCCTCGCCTCGAGCTCCTTCTTGTAATTTGAGTCTGCTCCGACCATGTTCGCCGTTCTGAGAAGACGGAGGAGGAAATCACAGGGAACGGAATCTTTCTCTGGTGGGATGATTCCGAGTAGAGTCTCGACAAAGAAACGTTTCTTCATCACAAATGCAGTAACAGAGAAGCTCTCTGATTGCTGTTGCGGCTGAAGTTGCGGTTCATCGGGGTTTATAACGACGTCAGAGAGGTCAGGGAGCCACGTGGAAGCGTAATGAACGATGATGGAGCCGATGATATCGGGACGAACACCTTTGGATTTGATTCCGGCAATGGTTTTAACGAAATGATCAATGTCAAGAATGCAACCATCGTCGAACCAAGAACACTCCATTTTTCCGGTGGAGGTTGACGGAGATTTGGTGGAGATTGTGGCAGATTCCGGCGAAGATGTTTTGTCCATGTCTTTGGTATTTTTCACGGTGGAAGTTGTAGTGTGTGTAAAGTGGGATGGGTTAGTTTTATAGAGAGTGTGTAAGCAATTACGTTTGCTCTGTTCTTGAAAAGTCTTACATTGAAACGTCGTCGTCACATCATGAATCCAAGGTAAAATTCCAAAGGAAAGAACAAATTCTTGCCATTTCCTATAAAAACAATCAACTTAGATTTTAGAAATCCAAAAAATATTATTGATATTTTTGTAGGAAAATTTTGGAATTTTCAGGCGCTAGAGGAAACTAATCTTTTAGTTCGTATAGATAGAATATGTATGATTTACTCGTTAGAATCAATGAAAGGCACAAACTTAATATGATTTCAGTTTAGGGTATTATGTTTCGTATAACTCAAGTCTTTGCTCAACCAATTTAACGAAGCTAGAAGACTTAAACAAGTTGATTTTTTTAAATCTTTTGGTGGTGATTGATACGTTAGAAAAATGTGGGAATAATAGAATAGTGAAATAACTACAAAATATTAAAAACTAGTTTTTGTAGATTTATAATTTCTTATATTTATTCTTTTACTTCTATTCTTAACATTATGCATCATGCATAGATGAATCATTAAAATAAAATAAAAAAAACTTGCTAAATTTTGTGAATGATGAAAACAACGAAATCACTTTTTGAAAATATGAAAACTTGATGAATGCTATGAATGTTGAAAAATCACGAAATCACTTTTTAATACGTAAGAACTTGATAAATGCAGTGAATGATGAAAATTGAAAAGTAACAAAACATATTTTCCGAATGTGAACAAATGGTATATCAAAATGAATATTCACATTGTTTGAAATCCACAAACTTTATTTGATTTAGTTAAGGAAAACTCAAGTCTTGGCAATTGAACGACACGGAAACATTGAGATATTTTATGAGTAAAAGATATGAGATGGGCCATTTAGCTGTTTGGAGAACATATTCCTACCGTTGGAGAGGATTGAGAGGCTGAGAAGAAGATAGAGATAAAGAGAAAGACAAAAACGTTTCTATTAATTCCAAAAAACATATTTAGAAAACATACATAATTTTTACAAAGTGAAAACGTGGGAACATGGACGTGTCCTCAATATTTGTTTAGGACAATCAACGTACGTGTGGATCAAAAAGAGTTGAAAAACAGACAAATGCCATTAAACATTTTTGATTCTTTAATTTTGATTATGAAAACCACATGACATTGTACTGTATGTAACTATTATACAATGCAACCATAACCAGAAGCTAACATTAACAAAGAGATTGTACCTTTTATTTTTGTTTCCATGCTCATTGTCTCATTAACATGTTAATCTGATAAAATAGGATTTCTGTTATCATATAAAAGTTCTTACATCACAAAAGTAATGTTATTGGATCAACACAAACAACAACAAAAAAAGTCATGGATCATAACATATCTATATACATTTGTCTTCATATCATGTAACACAAATGTAGGTTTGAAACGGATTTATTTTGTTCCATACCTCTTAACCCTTACATGATTTCATCCATCCAACCTCCAATAGGTCTCATATCCCTCAACACAACCTCATCGTTCATCGTTGTCGTCTGGCTCTCTTTGGATCCGTGAATGGTATTTCATCATATAAAACTTTAAGTCTTGCTCTACCAATTTTATATTAGTTAAATATGATTGGTGCCCCATACAATTTTTCTCCCTAGATCCGCCACTGAGACTAACACAAGTTGAGTTGCTCCTAAAACCTTTGGTGGTGACTCATATATCATTTGAATAGCGAAAACATTTGAACTGAACAAATTTTTACTAGGTAGTTGTAAAATGTTCTTGAAAGGTATTTTTTGTAAATTAAAGATTTTGTTTATAGTTTACACATATGCATATATATACAGCGCGGAATCACTTTTATGAAAACGCAAAAAAAACATAGAAACAGCATAAAAGGTGTAATCTTTATGTCAAATTTTGGCTTGTGGCAATGGTTGCGATTGTGAATGAATAATATCCAGTGACACAAGTGAAATACAAAACATATTTCTAATCAAAACGGGACCATACTATACAATGTTTGTTTAGGCTTCATCTTCAAAAGAGAAGATGTTTAAGTTTCTTTCGTCTGTTTTTCGACTCTGTTTTTATCCACACGTACATTATTGTCCTAGAGAATATTTAAGACACGTCTACGTTCCCATGTTTGTACGTATTCCCATTGTAAAGTTTTGTATGTTATCTCTTTTGGCATTATAAGGAGGGGAAGATTTTGTCTTTCTCTTTATCTCTATCTTCTTCTCAGCCTCTCAAATCCCTGTCCAACGGTAAGATTGTGTCCCGAACCAGCCGTTTGGCCTGTCTCTTATCTTTTACACATGTAAAATTGTCTCAATGTTTTTGTGTTTTCTTACTTGCCAAGACTTGAGTGTTCCTTTATCCCTTCAACTTAGTCATGTTATGTTTGTGTGGTGTTCATACATTATGATGATATCTATCTTAATATACCACTTATTTACGTTTGAAATTATTGATTTCGTTATTTTTAAACATGTAAATCTTGTATAAGTACTTAATCCAAGGTTTAGAGATGATAAAAGGATTTCTGTAATCCATGATATATAAGTTATGACATCACAAAAGTCATGTTCTTGGATTACAACAGACAACAAAACAAGTCAAATCAACGATACGGATCATAACATTAAATTTACATTTCTCTTCGAGTTCTTGTAACACGAATGTAGGTTTGTTCAAGCGGTTTTAGATCCAAACCTCTTAACCCTTTCATCGATCCATTCTCTCATATCCTTCAACACAATCTCAGCGTTCTCGTCAGGCTCTCCTTGAATCAGCGAATGATACATCCCTTCGTAGATCTTCAATGTTTTATCAGTGCTTGATGCCTTTTCGTATAATAGCTTCGACGATGTAGGACATGTTACTCCATCTGCTGTGCCATGTGCCGTAAATACCGGAATAGTAACTCGCCCGAAATTCTCCTGAACGTATTGAGTCTTCCTCAGTAACTCTCTCATTGTTCCCACTCTAGGCTTCCCTGTGTACCTACAAAGTAAAAATCCAGACTTTTATAGCTTCCAAAGTAAAGTCTCAAGCTTTATACTTGCTTAGAGACTTGCAACATTTGCTACCAACAAGTTCTTTAGTACCTTTGCGGGTTAGAAGCGATGATCTTAAGCTTTTCGGGGTCTTTAATAGCCTTCCCAACCATCTTATTATCCGGCATTGCCGCCCACGTATCAGCCAACCCAAAGAGGAGACCATAAGCAAAAAGATGAGCCTTGCTTGGTTTCATATCCTCCGGGATAACAAAGAGAGGAGCCGAAAACATCAAACCGGTCCAAGTATCAGCTTCCGATTGAAAATACATCAAAAGCGTCACAAGACCTCCCATGGACTCACCAAATAGAAAAGCCGGAAGATCCTTATACGGTTCACTACAACGAACATGCTTAAAGAAAGCTAATGATGTTGCTGCAACTTTCTCCATATCACCTAAGAACCATAAAAACCAATTCTTTAACCACCAAATCACCTAAAGATCGTAACTTTATCTTATCAACTACACAAAATCCTTAATTTCAAAACAGAGGAACGAAGTAACGAACCCATGTAGCAGCGGATTCCGTCTGAGCGGCCGTGACCGAGAAGATCGGCGGCGAAAACAGCGTAACCCCAAGAAGAGAAACTCATGCAGATCTTTTGAAACATCCAGCTTGTATCGGATCCGTAGCCGTGAGACATGTAGACAGTGCCTTTGATTTCACCATCTAATGATATAAAGCTTTGAGTGAAGAGCTTGCCGTTTGGTGTTTCGAAGTATGATTTGGTGTTACGTACTCCTTGTGAAGTGTAGTACTCTTCCTCCGGCATGTCTCCCCAGAAATTCGGTGGTGGAGTTGCCGGAGCTGAATTCGCTGAGCTCTCCGCTTCCGACGGCATCGTTTTGATGATTTTTTTTTTTTTCTGTTTTCAGTGAGTTTTTGTTTTTGGAGTTGTTGATAAAGTGAGATTTTCAAGAGGGAGAGAAATGAGTTTTTATACGTTATATATACGGCATTAAATACAATTAATTAAAAGAAAATGTCATTTATATTATTTTAAATTTTGTATAATGCTAAAATTATAATAATCACACAATATTTTAGTGAAGATTCATTTTTTCCACATTCTAATATTTCAGTAAAACTCCCTACCAAAAAAAATTACATACTGGTTTTAGTGTTGCATTTTTATTATTATTTGAATTTGTGTCGTTATTACAGATAATTTTGGTTCGTCATTTGGCAACTTTATGATCTTATCCATGTGATTAAACTGTACTAATATATATGATTAATAAAAAAAAAGGAAAATTATAAAATGATTAGTCACTTCACCAACCACGGTGGGGCCGGGGGTTGGTAGGGTCAGTAGAGAGTTGGTGCGAAAAGTTGGTGTTAGGATTCGACCCGACCCGACCCGATTTGGTTCATGTCGGACTTCTTCACCTACCCCGGTTCGGTTCGCTCGTTTCCTTACCTACCCCAATGGAATATACCGTTGATCCGGTTTAATCTCCACCCCAATCTATTTTGTTTTCTGTACCAAACTAGTTGAAAGAATTGGTCAGTGGGCATGTTTAATAACACCATTGGGCCTTGTGTAAGTAAGTAAAACCAGCGGCCCATTTATAATTACTACTCTTCTTGACAAAACGAATACATTCCTAATTGTGAACCTAATGCAGATACTAATAAGTCTAATATACATTATGGTTTCTATTATTTTTGCAATAATTGAAAATTAAAAATTGTTTTAATATTAAACAAGAAGCTTCCGAACAATCATGAAGAAACAAAATCACAATGATTTATATGCACTACCAAAAAAATAAAATCATAATGAGTTATAGATAGATAAATTAATTTGATACGAGAAAGATATATGTAATAATGAGAAGGGATGACTTATCTAATAGTTTAATAATAATATATACATTATTTAGTAGTTTCCTCGTATTGTACATTGACATGCGTTATATGAAACGTACATAAATCGGCGTACCATTTTTATTCCAATGTTTCTGCAGTAACATGCATGGGAACATAATTATTAAAGTATTGATTTATTATTCTATTATGTTTTATAATAAGATTTTTTTTAAAAACTTTTTGATACAAAGATCCCGTAATTATCTAGTCATAAACAACATCTTGATTTGTTCTGCCAGATCATTGCTTCATAATTATTGCATCTCAATTATCTGTACACAGCCATATTTTCTAATTTCAAGTTTTCTTAAAACCCTTTTTCCATGTCTTTACATATATAACAAAATTGATATTCGTTATTTATAGACTAAACAAAGAAAGAAAATAACAGTCATGATTTGATAAATTACGACATGATTTGTTACCAAATTATATAATGAAAAATGATTTTTATAGTAAGAAAAAAGTATATACATAGTAAGCTAACTTGTAGGGAACAAAGACAGAAGAAAATGGCTGGAAGAATAATATAGAGTGAACCTAACATTCACATGCTTCTATGTGCCACTCTTCCTCCAAACACACTTATCATTTCTTTGTCTTTGCTGTCTTTTGGTCCATTAATCATTTAATATTTCCCACTCATTAATTCACTTTATCTTATACAACTCATTACTATATTTTATGTACCAAAAATGTTTCAAAATTGCACTGTTTTCTATAATATATCAACCGTTACAAATTATACTATTACATATTTCCCTAAAAGCTAACGTTTTGTCTGAATTTGAATAAAATGGTCCGTTTATAAAAAGCAAAGACAGAGTTGCATATTCCGGTGAACTTTTTTTACGACCATTTCCGGAGAATGCCCGACGCTTCTCCGCCTCAGCCGTCAATAAACCGTCACAACCCACTGAGTCACGCCACCGAGTCATTTTCTGGTTTGGATATTTGCTCAAAGTTTCTTGGATTATCAAGAAGTTCCCAATCTTTGGAAACATAATCTCCTCAAGTTGTTGTAGCCACTGTCTGTGAAAATGGCGGCATGGAAGTCGTGGATTGTGGCGGAGAAAGCACGAAGATGCTTCCGGACCATGTTCTTTGTGGCAGCAATGATGGCCTCTCTGTTAGCTTCCTCGTTACCGGTTCTGATCACGGTGGCTGATGTGGTGGTTCCTTGTCTTATCGTCTCCAGCATCACGTGCCTCACGTGCTACTCCCCTGCACAACATTTTCGTCAGTATAGTTTCAAGACCTCCCTCATTGATGTACCAGTTGTCTCTCTCCTTAGATCTCTCGCCATTATCTGTACGTACGGACTCATTAATTCTCTCTTACTCAAAACACAAATGTTAGCAGTTTTATGACCTCTCTGATTCATTGAGCTTATACTGAAACAGGTCTCTCTTGGTTATGTGAAGACACAAGATTAGCGTATGGTCTTTATCTTGAAACTGTGATGTTATCTTCCTTTGGAGGGATACTTCTTCTTTTGGTTAAAACTTGTGTTTTCTCTGTGAATTCTCATCTTGAAGAGGCTAAGGTCCATTACCTCAAGATCTCATGGGGAATGCCGGTTTTGTTACTATCTTCCGCGGTTTTCGGTCTAGCTCATGTCGTGGTAGCTTATCGAAAAAGCGGTGGAGCAAGAAGGAAGCTAATGTACCACAAGATTGACCAAGAAGCTGTAAAAATACTTCTCTCTTGTTTTCACTTACTACCTTGAGATATTTGTGGTTGGAGCTCAACTCTTTATTATCGTGTTTTGCAGGTTCTCTCATGTAAATCCGGTTTCTCGGGTTACAAGAAGGCTCATCGTCAATCTTTCACTAGATCAAACTGCAAAATCTTAACCTATGCTGGTGAATTCAGACAAAACTCTTTCAGGAGAACATCTTTCGATAGAGAAGAGCTACTACAACCAAGACTACTCGCAAATGCAGACAGTTTATTCATCAAGATTCAAGGCTTAAATGTCCATTACAAGCAGTGTACCTCACCGTCTGTATCTTCCTTCATTATTGTAAGCGATTCTGCAGCGGATATGAATGCGAGAAGATCAAGACTGTTAGACAAGCAGATGTCAAACGTAATCTCCCAAACTCAAAGCAGTCATTTGCATAGAAGCTACACTATTCAGCCCGATAGATCATCGTTATATGATCCTCTGTTAGCTAGTTACCAAACTACACCCATTAGCTTGTTTGGTAAGGATGATGTGAATCAAATAAATTCTATGAATCTTGGGGATGATTTGGAGAAAGATGAGAATACTGGTATAGTTCTAGTTCATGGATTTGGTGGAGGAGTCTTCTCATGGAGGCATGTAATGGGAGAATTATCTCATCAGCTCGGTTGCAGAGTCGTTGCATATGACCGGCCTGGTTGGGGGTTAACCTCTAGGCTTATCAGGAAAGATTGGGAGAAGAGAAATCTAGCTAACCCTTACAAGCTTGAGAGCCAGGTAGGTTTCTTTAAAGTAATATGTAACTGTTGAAAATGTTCATCTTCCATCTCTTTTTGACATGCTTGATTCACAGGTTGATCTACTACTTTCATTTTGTTCTGAGATGGGGTTTTCTTCGGTGATACTCGTTGGCCACGACGATGGTGGTTTGCTTGCTCTCAAGGCCGTCGAAAGAATGCAAGCATCTACCTCTAAATACAATGTAAGAACATATCTTCTGGATGATTAAGACTTAATTTGTGTTAATTGTTACTAACAATACACTTGTTACTGAATAATCTCTAGATCACAATCAAAGGGGTGGTTTTGATAAACGTTAGCTTATCTAGAGAAGTAGTTCCTGCCTTTGCAAGGATACTTCTTCATACTTCACTCAGGAAGAAGCACTTGGTCCGTCCTTTGTTGCGAACCGAGATAACCCAATTGGTGAACCGGCGTGCATGGTGTGACACCACCAAACTAACCACTGATGTCACAATGCTCTATAAGGTAATCACTAGTTTCACTTTGTAAACATGTATATATAATGCCAGTTGAGACTAAACAGTTACCTTTAATTGAGTGCCATTCTTATGGATTAAACATTTCAGGCTCCTCTATGTTTAGAAGCTTGGGATGAAGCACTCAATGAGATAAGCAAGTTATCATATGAGATGATACTATCACCTCAAAATGCATCAGCTCTGTTAAAATCTATAGGAGATCTTCCAGTCTTAGTTGTTGCTGGAGCTGAAGATGCTCTTGTTCCTTTAAAATCCTCACAAGTTCTGGCTTCGAAACTCACCAATTCTGTAAGTTTAACATCCTCTCAACAAGACTTTCATAACTTAGTTTCCGTTATCTTGAATCTAAGTGTATGTATTTGTTTGTGCGCACAGAGACTCATAGAGATCTCTGGTTGCGGCCATCTGCCACATGAGGAGTGTCCTACAACACTTGTTTCCGCTCTCGGTTCCTTCATTTGCAGACTGATACCAAAACAACCAGACTCCTAAAACCACATAAGACCATCTCAAGGAAAGAGTTTGATGAAACATCAGCAAGATATCAGCTCTCTACACAAGAATATGATTTTTCGTGGTTCCATTCATCAGTATATTCTTAAAGGGATCAAAACTCCAACCAGATTTGCTACAAATTGGAGCCTTCGACTGTCAACTAGGCCAAGTGAATATTATCAGCCTGATTTTCTCAAACACAAACCTGTGATTTCTCTTATGTATGATGTATATATGATTTCTATTCAGAGAAAATACAAATCCGTACCAATGAATTTGCTTTCAAGCTTCTCCAGCGATGATCTGTTACTTTTGATACGAACAAACCAGCAAGGTAGTCAGAAATGGTTTTCGGATAATCATTCGAATACATTCTTAAAGATAGATAAATCGACTCACGTCTCTAACACAAAGTACGCCGATCGAATGAACAATAGCAAACAATCCTAAAAGAGCTCTCTAGCATCTTATCAAACACAACTCTTGAAGCATTAAGAAACAGAAAAGCAACACAGAACAAAGCGGGTCACTAAAAGTCCTATTCCTTGGCGGATTTGTTGATGAGCGACTTGTGAATATGAGGGATGACTCCACCACCAGCTATAGTTCCTTTGATGAGAGTATCGAGCTCTTCATCTCCGCGAATCGCAAGCTGCAAGTGCCTCGGCGAGATACGTTTCACCTTCAGATCCTTACTAGCATTACCAGCCAACTCCAAAACTTCCGCCGTCAGATACTCCAATATCGCCGCTGTGTAAACAGCTGCAGTTGCTCCAACCCTTCCATGAGCAGTGGACCTTGTCTTCAACAGTCGATGAACCCTACCAACTGGGAACTACACAAATGAAATTCAACAAAAATGGTTCAACAAAACACACATTAGCTTTAAACTATACTCAAATCTCGATTATTCCCAGAAACATTTCATATATCGCATAAATCAAAGATCGTGTTCAATATCAACCACAGAAACTCAATGAAACAATCTCGCATCCCAATGACTCAATTTCATAGCTGATATCAACAAATCTAGCTCAGAATCTCATCGATCTACCATTTACGAGATCTACTTATCGAGTGAGATTATATATACCTGAAGACCAGCGCGAGAAGAACGAGTGATAGGCTTCTTCTTGTCCTTATCCTTGTCGCTACCGCTGGGTTTCCCCATAATCAAACCCTTAGCACCTTTCCCCGACATTTTCCCGCCAAAAGTCTCACAGTAAAATCCTCGGAGATTGAAAGAGAAAGGAGATCGCACCACCAGAAGATAAAAAGAGAGAAGAAGAAGATGAGCTCGAAGAGTCTCTCGATAGACGTTTTCCCAGATAGAGAGAGACAAAGGTCGGTCTAAAAAATGACGATTTTACCCTTCTACCTCGAAAAAAGCCCAAGCCCAAGCCCAACAAATTATCATAAATCTCAAAATCGTCCCTAATTGTTTTTAAATATTGAAAAAGGACCACTGAAAACCAAAAGAGAATTTAACACCCATAGCTTGATTTGATTCAAAAGAAGAGAGAGATTTTCGTTTGTTTGTTTTCTCTGTATATTCATTTAGTCTGGAAATAAAACACAGCAAATCAAGAACTAAGACATATAGAGGCTTTTTATACGCTCATTTTAGCTTAAGTATCAGATGGTTTCTCTGCGGTTTTTCCTTCTTTGTTGATGTGAAAGCCTTCAATCTTCTTTGAAACTTCATCCACGCTATGTTTCACTCTCCTCGAGCTTGTTTCATTCTCTTCGGGATTGGCTGGTGTTGTTTGCCAGATTCTGATGGTTCCGTCTTCAGATCCCGAGGCATAAGACAGGCCAGTGGGGGTAAACCTAACGCAGTGTACTGGACCGTGATGTCCCTTGTTGCATCCTAAGTTTCAGACAAAAATGACAATCAGAAAACCAAAACCTCACAGGAGCTTGAAGACCCATGCTTCAAAGATCTATCAAGCTCTTCACATAAAAAAAACTCCAAACAAACTGAAACTCTGGAACTTAATGAAGACGCTTGACAACAGTCTGATTTGGAATATGATCACATAAATGTTTTGAGACCCACTTACCAATCTCCTCGCCAGTATAGAAGTCAAACACTCGGACCCACATATCCTCTCCACCAGCAACAAACTTTTCACCAGACTTTGGCTCCAACGATGCAGATTCGATATTGCAGGGCATGTCGTAACTCTTAACTAGTCCAAAGCTTGCAAAAAGAAGGGGACAAACATAAGAGTTTGAGCAAATTACAAAAGATAAATAAGAAAATATCCGATTCTCTTCCTGGAATGAGAACTTACTGGTTCGCGTCCCAGAATTTAACAGTTGACCCATCTGCAGTTGTTATATACCGTCCATCTTGGCTCACTTCAGCACTGGTTACAGGAGACTTAGTTTCTAACGTTTGGACAATTTTCCCACTCCTCACATCCCATAACCTGTATAAGATTACAGTTAGAAGATAAAGAAAAGGAAACAAACCATCTATCAAATTATGCCTTGCTGTATGCTACAATGTGAATTAACCCATGTCTTGATTTGTTCATACCTTACACCGCCAATATCAGTGCAGGAACTTAATATTGTTTGATCACTGTGAAGCCATGTGAGGGTTCTGATAGAACCAGGAGATTTATCAACTTCTGTAGGAGGTGCATCCAACCGATTCATGTCAAAAACGCGAAGAATTTTCTCAAACCCTCCTGTGAGCAACAATTTTGTATCCTAGTGAAAGAAAAATGCCAATCAATTAGTGATTACTGCATAAAAGTGGAACGACAAGGCACCATCCACAAACAACAAATGTTTAAGAATAGTCCAATCTGGAGAACAATTCCAATATCACCTAATTAAACAAATCCACAAAGCTTTCAACTTAAACTCCATGCAATTGCCTGAATAAGAGCTATTACATAACAAGCCTGCCCACAACCGATAATCCAAATCACAGAGATACAATAGCTTATGCCTATAAAGATAACTCGAAATCGCATCATAGCAAAAAAAGGATTAAAGTATTTCGGTATATACATTCAACTAATTCCAATTTTTTTACCCTTTACAATCTTAAAAAACCCCCAGTTGACCAAATCAAGAATAGCTACATAAAGAAAGTAAATAACTTGAACAAACCTCTGAGAAGGCGCATGCTCGAACAATATGCTTGTGCTCAAAAGAATGCAGCACATCCCCTGTTAACGCATCCCAAAGTTTGCTGAACAACAAAATATGTAAAAACATCGGATGATTGGCCAACAGATACATGCGGTATACTAAGAATATAACATAATAATGAACAAAAACAAATCAAACACATACGCTGAAAAATCGGCTGAAGCAGATGCAGCACGTAATGCATTGTTATCCAGACATGAACTCCACACTGCACCTTTATGCCCTTCAAATGTACCAATCCAGTCTCCAGTTTCCCCATTTCTCAACATTGGATGCGAATCTAAATCATCAAAACACAACTATTCTCAAATACTCAAAACTCAAAAAACTCCAAAAACAAGTATTGCCCCATAAATACAATGTAAACACCATCAAAACGTAAACTCAAAGACTAGAGTTGCACAAAAAGCTAATCCATTTATAAATACCCACCAACCAAAACATCGTTTTAAGTTACTCTAATTCGATCAACATGAGTTTTGCACCAGTCCTTGTAACTAAATTGACAAACAAAAAGATCCAATTTTTCAATAAGAAACCAAAAAGTATAATAAATTACCTTTGCTAGCGCTGATAAGGAAGAAACCATCAGGCGTAATTGGACTGTAGAACAAATCAACAACAGGTCTTGAATGTCCATGACAGACTTGTGGAATCGTCACCTTCTTCTTCTCCATTTATCGTAAACCCTAATTGAGCGACTCTTTGAAATTAAAGGAAAGGTTTTTCAATTCCAAACGATTGAAGGTAGATTCAGAGTAGCTGAAAATCTAAATTTTTGTTGTAATTTCTACAGATATATTGGGAGAAAGAAACAATCCCGAATCTATAAAATTTCAATCGATCTACACTTAATAGAGAAATATGTAGCTACAGTGGAATGCTGATTCCTGAGAATTCTACAGAAGCAGAGATGAATTGAAAGTAGAAAAGTTAAAAAAAAAAGGGGAAAATTTGTAGAGGAAAGCGAAGGAATTGAGTGGTTTTTATTTGTACAAAGTATTGCAAACAGTAGCAAGTTTTAGGGATTTCTACATCGAGACGGGAAGGAGAAGACCATTATTTGTATTTTTTTAAAGTTAGTTCCTATATTTTTCATGTGTTGCAATAAGCGACCCCTATATTTTTGGTTTTACATCGGTGTCCATTCACAAAAAAAAAATTGCTTTTTTTCTTATACTACATTAGTTGGAATTTTTGGAGTTAGGATGATTTTGGTAGATGAATACTATATGGGAAGGGATTACTACTTGGCATAAAAAAAAGGTTAAATTTTTTGTAAATAATTTATAAAAAAAAAACATTTTCATAAATAATTAGTGTATTTTATTGTGCTTGTTTTAAAAAAAAACACAATATTATGCAAAATATCATATCAACAGATGAATTCATACTTTTAAAAACATGCGCGACTAAATGCACCTCTTATTTGCAAAAAAATACCGTCTAACCGTTTTTGCAAATAAAACAAAACAAAGTATTACTAATAAGATAAAACAAAATAAAAGCTCATTTGGTGTTTTAATGTTTTAACATCTTATTTGAGGTTTGATTCTAGAAAATGTGAATGGTTATATATTAATTGAAACAAATTTACTGGACATCATTTAGTGTGTTGGATTGGCATTAATAATCAAGACAATCAAAGAATAGTGGAGAGAAAGTACAAGGAGGTGGAAGTAAGGCCGGCCCTGATTTTGTTTGGGCCAAAGTTATAAAAAACAGGTTAATTTAGAAGCTTTAAAACATTTGGGCCAATTATTTGAGCCAATTTGTAAATAATTTTGGCTAGTGGATTTCAGAAATTCTTTTGAGGCCGGCACTGTGGAAGCTCAAGTAGAGGATGTTAATTGTTACTACATGATTTTCAGGGCATCATTCTCTTCTTACATTTCTCTCCTCTTGTCTTCATTTCTCCGTTCTTTGTTTAAACACAAGTGTGTTGCTTCTACTATGTTCACTACTACTTACAAACCTCAAATCTAACTAGTTGCCTAAGGTGAAAAATGTTCAAACTTTCATATATTTCGAATTAAGGTAAAATTATAAAACGACAAAAAATACTCACAAGAATGAATAATATAAGATCACAATCACTTTATAAAAAGAACTTAACGGAGATAAACGATATATCATCAGTACATTGAAACAACGACGATGTTAAGATTAGACAAGAACCAACTTCACGATCATCGTTAAGATTTGGAGAGGTTTTAATAAGTGCTAGCTTTTCAATGACAAAAGTCACAAGTCACAACATATAATAGCTCATGTGAGTGGAATTTGTAATAGTAAAATAGTATGGTTAAGTAAAACAAGACCAAATTCAAGTCTGAAGTAGATCACTAAATTCAAGACCAAATTTTAAGAGTTATTAATACTTCTTAAAATTGAGATTAGATAAAAGAGCGAATTAGGGACAACAAATGTCTAAAATAACATGTGGAAATCCAACAGTTGATTACAGAAGAAATTAAGAGAAATTAACTAATTAATGATCCAACGGTTCTCGAGAACTAGAATTTACAACACACAAAAGACCAAACACAGTCCAACGGTTCTAATGAAAAAGGAGCACCGATAAAAGATGGTCTGCATCCTACAGGAACACTTTTTTAAAAAAACGATTATTCATTTAATTGATTCGTTTCCAGATCTGACCCGAATCCGTTTCAATCTTCAACCCGGCCAGAGATATCAGAAGCAAGTCGAGAAGCAATGGCGGAATGATACATAACATCGTGGAACGTGGAAGCTTCTGCTGTTTTCCTCCTCAACTGCTTAGCTTTCTCCTCCGTAAGACAACCACGACGGAACTTCTGACCCGACCCGGAAATATCGGGTTTACCCGGATTCGATTCCGGATCCACTGAAGAGCCTGAGCCTTCGATGTTGAGGTAATCAGGATCGGAGGACAACCCAAAGAGAGGAGCCCACCAAGAAGAAGATTTCTTACGGTTTTGATCCGGCTTAAGGGATCCGGATCCGGAAGATGCTCGGATCGTGGTTAGAGCGGAGCAAGAGATAATCAAAGCCATTGAAAGTGAAAATGTAGATAGAAAAGTAACGTGAAGATTTGGGGATTTAAAGGAAGAAGAAGATTGAATTTTAGGGTTTCAAAATTTATATAATTAAGAAACTGAAAGTGGATATGGTACGTTGGATATGTAATCAATGTAGAAGCTTTTATACTGACTTGTGCTTGTGCAGGGAGATTTTAGGTGGACATGCATGCATTGGATTGTGACCTTGGGAGATGGAGTCTACGGTCTACACGCTCTTTTTGGTCAGATTGCAATGTCTTGATATGCACTTTTCTACGAAATACAGTTTAAAAAGAAATATTTAAAACGTGAAAGAGCCGTTTGGTTTAGCAATTTGCATACAAAACAGTGACAGCGGACGGTGGGAACTGATTATGGAACAAATCTACAATATCAGACAATAAAATAAAAGTTTTGTTCTGAGAATATTCCTTTTTCCTTTCCAAAAAAAGAAAACAACTATTGGAGAAAAAAAACAAAAACAAAATATTAGTTTTGATTAGCAATATGGCAATCATATAATGACATAAATTGCATAATGATAATTTGTATAACAAAAATTCGTAGAATGAAAATTTGAATAAAAAATATTGGATATATTTTGCAGAAAGCCAGAAATGCCGAAATGTAATATTGCATCATCAATTTACACATATTTAACCAGTGGCGGATCTATAATCAATTTCTAATGGGGTCAATATGTTATACGAAAAGAAAATGAGGGATTTAAACATATTTTAATGGGGTCAATATAAGGAATTTTAAGCATATTCTTTAATTTACTCTTAATTTTTATTAGCAACTCAGTTAAAATTCAAAAATTGTTGGGGTCAAGTGACACCACTACCACCGACGTAGCTTCGCCACTGTATTAAACAAATAAATAGTGTTTTTAATGAATTTCAATATATCTCAATTAAAATTTGATAAAATTGTGTATAGGAGTATTAAAAATATATAAATATTTTTGAAAGTTGTGAAAGTTATAAATATTATTTGAAAAATGGCATATATTTCATTGTAAACAATTGTTTTTTTAGTTTTACATTTGTTAATATTTTGTATGGGTAAAAAGAATAAAAAAAAAGGTTTAACCACTTATCATCAAATAAGCAACTATATATCTAATGAGTTTTTACTTGTATTTTTTTAGGCAAAATTGCAAATCGTGCATTTTTGTGTTTTGTTAAGCATTATGCAGATTTTCTTGATTGGTAAACTTCTTGCATAACCGCATTAGAAAACGGCATTCTGTCAGTATGGATGTTACTAATTAGAGCCATTGATGCACAACATATTGTTATCTGCTTCAAACATATCATTGCTTTTATCATCTAAACCCTTAGTAATCTCATCAAATGAAACTTTGGTTTCAAATGAAGACGGAATTCCACGGTGCGGTTCAAATAATTAAAAACTCATAAATAAGAGCTTCCTTTTCTGAGTGACAATATTCAAAAAAATTAAAAACTCATTTTCAAAATTCACTTCCTAAAAACTCAAAAATCCAAATTATTAACACACGATATTGCCCAACAAAGCTTATGAATATTCTTCAGACATTACTAGAAAGTTTAACAAAATATCAGTTGGATTTTATTGGTTCTTCACATACTCGTATAAATAAATATTTATATTTTCTTCAAAATAGATTTTTCTTTGTTTGAATAAGTTATGGTTGAAAATGTGATAAAATTCATGTAGTTTCAGACAAAAAAGACATCCGATAGTTTTGATTTTAATTTTTTTTCCTAGAGTTCAGTAATTCATCCAATAACTGCACTTAAAATTCGCATGTGCGAGTGTTTCACACGTGCCAAGTTAATCGCAGTTGAACAATTCTCCCAAAAAAACCCAAAGGTCAGAGAATCCACTGGCTGCGACATTTCGCCGACGAGAGAAGCGTTGAAGATCATCTTTTCGAGTCGCCGGAAGTGACCTGAGATCAAACGCCTTTGTTCATCTTCATCATGTGGAGAAGAATCGTCTCTTCTCACCTTAAAACCCTAGCTACAGCATCCGATTTCGCTGTTGCTTCTTCCTCTCGCCGATTGGTCGTCTCCAAGCCCGTTGGTCTCCATCTCTCCATCAATCGATCAACGATTTCTGCTTCTTCGTCTGTCTTCCCTCGCCATTTCAGCTCCGAATCAGGTAAAAGAAGCTTTCCGTATATGAACATGTCCAAATCAAAACAGTGCAATAGATTTTGAATCTGGAATTGGTCCCAGAGATAGTTAATGCGATGTCAACATCGATTTTGAATAAATGCTTGTGTTGCTACTTAATCAATCTAGGGCTATTTTTTGTAAATGTAAAATCTTTAAAGTATTTGAGGAAGAGGAAGAGCAACATGCTTAAGATTATGTTTCATAGATTTTGTTATTTGTATTGAAGGAAGGACTTGTTATTACTTTTGTAACTTGCAGCAGAAACATCTGTAAAGAAGAATGTGGAGGATGTTATGCCTATTGCAACTGGACATGAAAGAGAGGAGCTTGAAGCTGAGCTTGAGGTGATTGCTTTATTTACTTATGTTTATATGCGTTTTAGGTATGATTCAAGCCTGTTTTTCTGGCACTCTGGTGTCATCATGAGTGTCGTTCTTTAGATAAGAAGTTCTTTGTTAGATTCTGGAATACCAATAGATGTGGTTGTTTCGTCTTGACAAAGAGTAGAGTGTGGGTTTGATGTTGCATTCGAAGAGCAGAAACTTAGTTTTGACTTTCTTATGTTCTCTGTGTATAGGGAAGGAGGCTGCTTGACATCGACTACCCTGAAGGTCCTTTTGGTACTAAGGTTAGTCAATTCGTAGATCATGAGAAAAAAATGGTGTTACTTTAAATATTTCTACTGAATTTCACTGTGAAATCTAAACTTCATCCGTATTTCTAGGCATAAGTTAACATTTGTTTTTATAAATTGACAGTGTACCTAAATCAAGCCTAACCACACAAAGTCCAGTTAAACAGAATTAGGATAATTGGCCTAATCTAGATGTTCGAATGACCTCGGAACAACATGATTAGATCTTCTGAAACTTAATATCTGGTCATTCTATTTGAATTTGTTTTGGGTTCTCGCTGGTTTTTGGACCTATTTGGATCACCTTGTATCCTCTGATCTTTAAGGAGTTTGGTTTTGAGTCCTTTTGTGGACCTTTCTCAACTGAGCTCCAACAAGCATTAGTCTTTACGGGGTTGGGCACTTCTCTTACATGGTGTTTACCATTTAGAACTTTTCTGATAACCTGGTTCTCATTTCCTATAATTAATGAAATGGAAGGACTGCCCTGAAAGGTTAGGTCAGCCCTTTTTACTATGATACTTGACTGCTGACTCTATGATGCGTTCGAAGTAAAGTTGTTTGAATGGTGTGATTCTGTTACCTAACCATTGATCTCACGGTTCATGACTCCTTATGTTTAATGATGATGACGAAAATTTCCACAAGTCAATTGACTTATTATGTGTCTAATTCAGATCCCTATATGCTTAGAATTGATGCAATTTCTTAGGATTGCATACTGTATTTTAAAATAATCTCGATATATGTGACGTTCTTCTTTTCTTGTATCACTCTTTCTTTGTTGGATCTTCGCGAATTTCTTTGGAGGTCATTGAGTTTACTATTATGAACTTTTTTTGGTAAGCTCTTGATTCAAAATCCTATCATCTCCAGGAATCTCCCGCTGTCGTAAAGTCCTACTATGACAAGAGAATTGTCGGATGCCCTGGTGGTGAAGGCGGTAAGTTATCATTTTGATGCCATATTCTTAAATAGATTTTCTTAGTCATTTGATCACTGTTGGTCGTTGGATCCATTTACGAACCATTTGTTGTGTTCTTATATCTCCCAGAGGATGAACACGACGTCGTATGGTTCTGGCTAGAGAAAGGAAAGTCATTTGAATGTCCAGTGTGCTCTCAATACTTCGAGGTAAGTTAAACTTGGCTTTCAATGTTCTTATGACTTAGAATCTAACCAAATTTCAAGAAAGCAAAAAAAATGGTGGAGGTTTTTTTGAACTTGGTTTCATGTTTGTTTGGCAGCTCGAAGTGGTTGGTCCAGGCGGACCACCAGACGGTCATGGTGACGATGAAGACCACCACCATTGATTCCAGTGTTATCTCAGCCGCAAAATTTTTTTTACTGTTTTGGTGAGTGCAATAAATATTTCTCTAAAATGAAAACGCATGAATATGTTTTTTTGATCCTCGAGAGGACACCACCAATTTGCCTCTAGACTCTTAACCCTTTTTGCTTTAAAATACTCGTGAGCTTTTTGTTTTTATGAATGATTCTCGAGTCAGAATCATTCCTCTTTTTTGAATTATAATATATAGTTTTGGTGTTCATGGTGTGTATGTTTTGTGGTAAAAAAAATGCCTAGAGAATGTCTTACCCCTGAAATTCCAATTGGCTTGTCGTCGATGTCGACCTACCGATTTTTTCATAAAAGCTGTAATCAGCTAACACAGCCGCCATTGATACATTGGACATTTGGCCTCTTACCATATAATTAAATAAATGAAATCATTCCTTTTATGACATTTTTAATCAGGAACCTTAAATACCAAGTCAACACCGATAACTTTAAGTCTTCTATAAAAAATTTGACTTATGATATGTCATATGTATAGCATAATTTTCAACAGCAATAATAGGAGAAAGTAATAACGTATGTGTATAATGGAATACTACTACTTTCTAAAATAAAAATTCGTAAACTATAAAATATCGTGCCTGGTGGCTTAATTTGCATCGTTAAATTTTCCAACAATGAATATAACTCTAATATGGCAACGAAGCCAGACCAGATTCGGTGTTACATTTTTTTTTGTTTTCGGGAGAGACCCTGAACAAGACAAGCGAACGAAGATGCCCGAACCAAACAAAAAATTAAAATAAAGAATAAAAAGGAAGAAACTCGATTTCCTTAATTGGTGAAGTACTAATTAAACCAGCATCCATTTTAGTTTTTTTATTTATTTATTTATTTATGATAATACCAAAAGGGGAATATAAAGAACAAGAACATACGATGTAACATCAAAACCGTTTTTATATTCTCCAATACTATAAAAAGATGTATTCCTAAAGCTTCTTTCCTATTTTTTTCTTACAAATATTTTTTCCTTTTCTACGGCTAAAATCAATTGAACAAAGATTCAATTTTACTTGTATATATATAATATTCATTTTTTTAATGCTACTAGTTTTCATCCGATTTGTTTATGTAGAAAATTTGACATATTATGAATTAAAAACTATAAATTAAAAAGTGAAAAAACATTTTTGGTAAAAACTTTTTCTTTTTTCATTTAAAACATTGTTTTATGACACCGTATGAACCCAAAACAAAACCTACCAAGAAAATATAAAAAAATGCTTAGAGAATTGATTCTGCCAAAAATTCGAAAAGTCTAATAATGAAAACAATCTCAAGAAAACGATTGTTGGAGTTTCTATTCCCTTTCTATTTCAGACTAATCACCATACTTCTTTAAAGATCCACACAGCTTGCCCTCATTATTAAATTTCCTTTTGATACATACTTTCATTTATTTTGTTCTTATGAATCTTTTGAAAGTTTTTACTTTAACTCGGTAATATGTGTTGGTCTAATAGCATTGCTCCAGACACACATTTGGTTGTTGTGCACTGTTTTTTTCTTTTCTTAAAGAGTGATTTTGCATTCCTTTGTTAGAAGAATTCAAATCTTAATATAAGCCAATGAAATGCGACGATGCAGAAGAGTTAGATCACTAGAATACTCTAGATTAATATATTTTTCAGTATAAAACTTATTGATTATCGTAAATATATATTATTTTCTTGTATGTGCTTAAATAACAATATTCTTTAGCTAAGATAAGTTTTTTAAATTTGTCTATAAACTAATCTCTAATAAACAATGGTAGGAACCCTAGCGAGCTACCTTACTTTGGTTCACAAACGTCTACTCAATAAAGATAATTGAACAATGAGACATATACTTAGCATAAAACATTAATACTCTTAATTAATGTAAATCACACACTTACAATTCTTAATCTACCATGTGTCTTAATTCGACACGCAACAAATCTTTCAAAAATTTAAACACATCAACGTTTGTAATGTCTATCAGTTTGTCTTGTAAAATTTTTACTTGTTGTCTTTATTTTTTTGCGTATTTTGCATTCGCATATATATATATATATATATATATATATATATGTGAATTTTTCTCACTCGATATCATGTATAATACATTATTATATCCACTAATTTTGGGAGAAAATATATTTTCCAAATTATTTTAAATATAATGCAGAGTTTTATCCAATTTAGCATAATTAAAACGCATAAACTTACAATGGCCTTAATTAGCCTTTTAACCATACGAACAAGCAAACACTATGCACCTTTAAATACCATTAACGAGTTAGCATTGAGTGCCTAAAGCATATCTCCTCTGTTTTCTCAAATTCAATGCAATTTCAACAAAATATAATAAATTATGCTAGAATATAAAATTAAATAAAAGTTGAACTCATGAACTTTTCTTATTTCGGCTGATGGGGGTATAAATAGAGTTGACTTAAGACGAAATTTTTTCACTGTGCAAATATAATTAAATTGCAAATTGCTTGACATTCGTAAGAAATTAAACTAATCTAATAAGATACCGCCATTGTTTAAGCAAAAGGTTAATGTCATTTTCCACTAGTTTTTGTTCCCTTTAAATTAAGTCAACCATTCATAATTATTTTCAGGTAACAATCACTCCAAAATGCTACTATCATATTTAGAACCATCAACCATGTGTTCAGATAGTAGTAATCATTCCATAAATCTCTAAGAGATTTATGCATCAAAATAGATATATAAAAAAGGATTAAAAATATGCAAGCATTACGTTTTGAGAAAACGCATTTTTTTTGTGTGTGTTTATGGGGAATTCGATTGATTTTGTTATTTTTACTTATTTTTTGCTTTTTTTTTTTGCTTATTTTTTGCTTTTTTTTTGCTTATTTTTTGCTTTTAATTTTCTGTTTAATTACTCTCATTTTAATAAAAATGGCAAATAAGATTTTTTTTATTTCATTTATTCTTTGCTTATTTTCTTTTAAAATTTTCCGTTTAATTATTGTCATTGTAATATAAATGGCAAAAAATGGGTTTGGTCTACGTTAGGTCATTTTATTTATCTTAGTTCATATAAATATTTAGAAAAAATCCTTGATAGAAATTGTTTTTGGGCTCCTATATTTATTTAGAAAAGTCAGTAGTAGAATTTTTTTTTTTTTTTTTGAACAAACTGTCATTAGTAGATTAAACAATCACTTTCATTACTATTTCTGATTTCGATAAGAATAAATTCTTGTACTGACCCACCAACTTCAAATTTTATATCAATCTATAAAATTGAGAAAATGGGAATGATGGCTGATTGGGCCATGAAGAGTGGATACTACAGGTGACACATGCATTGTGGTGCATGTTCTCAGACCCACTCACCCCCCATTATTCCCTTTACATCTCCTTTTATATTTTTGAAACATCAATTCTATAGGAAATACAATTAAAAGTGATTTTTATGAAAGTTTATAAATACTTCTAAAAATTCTTAAAAAAATTATAATATATCAAAACCTGTCAAAATGTTTTACTTTTAATAAATTTATGTTTTGTATTACTATAAACTCGTGATGAACAATATCCACTGAAAAGTTTTAACCTAGGAGATGGCCGCTTAATGGTAAAAATTTTGTGTGTGAATTGTAGATGAAAATTTTATAATTGTGAATTTATTATTTTAACAAAAAAATTGGGTGAAATGGGCTCCTCAGCCCTGACTCACCGGTACTGGGCTATTGGTGGGCACTGAGCAATAAGCATTATCAATGGCAAACAGAACACAGTAATGAACAAAGCGTTGAAATTGATGAAAAAGATTTGTGTCTTTTTCTTCAATATCTTCTTCACCCCACCTGAAAAATCCAGGTTGGTCTCTTATGTTTTTTCCACACTTGCCATCATTTCGGTAGATCCAAATCTTTATTATATATCCAAGAACCCTTAGATAAAACAAAACCCTTAATTACAAATCTAAACTTTAGTTTTTGTTTTTGTTTGCAGGATTTTCTCACAAAGTTTAAGTAGGACTTTGGAGCTTTCTGATTAATGGGTATCCATCCATCATCTATTTTATTTGTTTTCATTTCATAAATAAATGATTGAACAATGAAGTTTGTCTTCTTTTACAATTTTGGATTATGCCTTAATGTTTCAGGTAAAAATATGTATTGTTGTTATATAGAATTAATATTCTTTTAGGAGAAAAAGTTATTTTGTGTTTCTTTATTTTTTTCCTCCACCACTGCCCACAAGGCATTGATTCTCTCTCTGTTTCTTTTTACCGCTAGCTCTCTGTTTCCAAAAGATTTATTTCTTTTGTTGTTTAAAGAAAAATACTTATTTAAGCACTCCTTTTCCATGGATGCATCCTCTATACGTCTATAGTTTTCTCTTCCATTCCCTTTCTAGTAGTTCTGGTTAGCTGTTGTACACATTGAAGCATCCTATAGTGAATGATTCAGATTCACTTCTTTTCCTTTATTCCACATTTCGACATCAACCCTTTAATTTGGTGTATAAATATACATTGCTTGCTCATATATTTACCATCATCACTTGTTTGTATTTTGAAACTTGAAAGCTCTTCAGAAGACAAATTACAAAACCTTTAGAGGATTCAATACACTTGAACAAAAAATGAGTTACTCTCGTCAAAGCATGGGTTCTGGTTTGTTTTTTCCCCTTCTTGATTGTTCATGTTAATGTTAGTGGTACTTGTTGTGATCAAACTTTTTTTATCGTATGATATTTTAGATAGATTATTCCAAGGATTGGTTTGGGTTTTGGCTTAAAGTTTCTCTTGTTATCTAAAAAAACTAAGTTCTTTTTGCTTGAAAGTTGTTTATGACTCTGTATTTGGTATAATCTTTGAAGGAAGTAGAAATGCAAGGGGATATGAATTTGGAAGGACTTATGTTGTGAGGCCTAAGGGAAAGCATCAAGCCACTCTAGTCTGGCTTCATGGTCTTGGTGACAATGGGTCTAGGTAACACTCTTCACATGACTCTTTCGATTATTATGCTCTTTTTTTGTTTGTGTCTTAAAAGAATCAAACTAACCTCTTGAAGCATAAACTCCTGCTTGGTGCTTGCTCTTCTTGTCTTAAGTATAAATATATGTTTTAGGAAAAAGATTCATCTTTTGGGTGTGTTTAAATGGAAGAAAAAAAAAAAAGAGTTTTCGAAAGTTGAATTTTGGCATGTTCTCTAATACCAACTTTAGAGAGCAAATTGTATATGCGCTGCTTCTTTTTTTCTTTTGTTGTTTTTGAAGTATTATTTGTAAATAAATGTTGTGGCGCCGCAAAGAATTAATTGGTATTTCCATTGTACCTTTCCTCTCAAATGTCTTCTCTAATGGGAATATTAAGTTTAGTTCATTAAAGTTTGTCATTAAATATATATATATATATATATAAAAGCAAATCATAAGCAAATCATAAGCAAAATCATTACCCTCACTAAGACAATTCTAGGGAATTAACAAGACAATTTCATCGTCTCATAGAAAAAATGAATATTCCATGTTTTGTATATGAATCCAAAATAAACAACAACTGAAACATACATGCGTTTCTCACATTTGTCTCTGTTTTGCTACAGCTCATCTCAGCTCATGGAAAGCTTGCATCTTCCAAATGTAAGAATCTATTAAACATGTTCTGTTATAAATCCACCATCAAAGTGCTATCTCTATTGAAGTCTCTAATAAAAACATTTATGCTATTGCACAGATAAAATGGATTTGTCCAACCGCTCCTTCGCGTCCTGTTACAAGTCTTGGTGGATTTACCTGCACTGCTTGTAAGATCAGTTCTCTCATTTGAAAACTTCAAGAATCATTCTTTGTTGTCTCTAAAGTAATACTAGAAACTGAATTAACGGTAGTTACATAATCAGGGTTTGACGTTGGGGAAATTTCTGAAGATGGTCATGATGATTTGGAAGGTTTAGATGCCTCAGCTTCACATATTGCTAATCTTTTGTCCTCTGAACCAGCAGATGGTAAGCCAAAATAATATAAACTTGAATTTTAGGAATGTACTATGCTTCTTCGATCTTTAGCTAAATCGAGGCCCGGTCCTGCACCCATTTTTATGATACATGTGTATGGGGCCACACAAAAATAGAGGCCCATATTTTTTTTTAATATTTAATGTGGACAACAAGTGAATTAGTTAGAAGCCCCAATTTTTGAAAAACTTTTATTTTTGACAATATTTGTGGTATTATTTTACATATAGAGCCCTCAGATTTTTTATTTCGTATTGGGTCACGAATATTAGAGGACCGGGCCTGGCTAAATCATTGACTTGCTCTTCTGATTTTGATAGTTCAAGTGGGCATAGGAGGTTTTAGCATGGGAGCAGCAATATCTCTCTACTCCGCGACTTGTTATGCTCTTGGACGTTATGGAACTGGCCATGCGTATCCTTTAAACCTACGAGCTGTTGTAGGGCTCAGCGGCTGGCTTCCTGGTTGGAAGTAATAACTTCTCAAGCCCTCATGTTATACAAACATTAATTGTTTTCTTTTAACTTAATGTTGCGTGTAATTTTTATTTATACTAATTGAAGCCTAACTTAACTTTTGTAGGAGCTTAAGGAGCAAAATAGAATGTTCATATGAGGCTGCAAGGCGTGCTGCATCGTTACCAATCATCCTTACACATGGGACATGTATGTGTAAACAAGTCTCTTTGTAAAATATATTTTCAGTTTCCCCTTTTAGTAATGTCCGCGCTAAGATGATCTTTACCGATTTTTTTGTGTCACAGCCGATGATGTGGTTCCTTATAGGTTTGGAGAGAAATCTGCGCAGTCTCTTGGCATGGCTGGATTTCGACAAGCCATGTTCAAACCATACGAAGGGTAATTAAAACTTTAGTGAATACAAAATGATTTTCTTTAATAATTAATTTGTCTGAACATATTTATAAAGTGTTTTGGGTTTATGCCAATGTGCAGACTTGGTCACTATACTGTTCCCAAAGAAATGAATGAGGTCGTTCACTGGCTCACAGCGAGGCTCGGGCTTGAGGGCTCGTGCTAAACTAAACTGCGATGCATCTAGCTATATAAACGATATGATCAACCGTTAGAAGAAAGAATAACTGGGAATGAAAAGGAATTGGTGGAGAGCGTGAAAGAAAACTAGTGTAGACTTGAGATAGTAGAAATGTACAATGGTTGGGTTTCTTGGGGGTATATATAGTTCATGGTTCGTTATTTTGTGATTTATTTTGTCGTTTTTTCTTTTGTCCATGGTGGATTCTTGGTCTTGAATAAAGGGGTTTTATATTTATATATATTTTTTTCTGTTTGGAATTTCCAAGTTCTCTTGATAGAAAATCCAAATACTTCCTAATTGCTGTATTAAACTGAAAATGCATTTTCCAAAGGAAGAAGACTAATTGAACATAATTTCTTTTTAATTTGTAAACGATTTTTAAAAAGAGTCATATATATATGAAAGTTTACCTAGCTCCTTTCGTATATATGATTTGGGTAAGTTTCAATCATTAGTTATGATTTTAAGAAAACTAGATACTGACATAGGTTTTAAAATATATCTTATTAACTTTTCAAAAAGGTTTTTTTTTTGTTAAGTTTGTCCAAATTGGGACCAGAAATTTATTATTATTTTACTACTTATTTAGACATCCATGCATTGAGAAAAATATTGATAGTTTACTAATTTAAAGATACTTTACTACCAAAGTTATTATTTTGGTAGCTTTTCGTTTCATTAAATAGTAAAAAGATATCTAATTACTACTAAAGTTATTTTGTTTTATATTAAATTATGTCTTAAAAAAAATTTATTCTAGATCTGCCATTGTAATGAGATGATCTAACTTTTAATAAGAAGATTTTTTCATGCATCCAATTTTCAATAGCAAGATTTTTTTTTAATGCACCCAACTTTAATTTTAATAATAAGGCTTTTCTTTCTTAGCACTTCTTTTGATTATAAATACACAATACCTTCCCCTTACATATTCCATCTCTAGTGCAATCTATAAGTTTTTGAAAGAAGTGATTATTCAAAACATGGCTTCTAGTATGTGTTTCCTTGTTGATTGTTCATGATTTTTTCTGTAGTTATGTTATATCTCTGGTTGTAATTGATATATTAAAATTTTACAATATATACAGGTAGTGGCATTGCATGTGGAAACACTAAAATAGTTTACCCTACAGGAATTCACAAGGCCACTATAGTCTGGCTTCACGACATCGGGCAGAAAGGCCTCGAGTAACACAATCACATTGCTTTAATTTTTATTTTTTATATGATTCGTTGTTTTCAAGTATCAAAGTAACCTATTCTAGTAAGTTATACACAATGTTTTGGAAAATCTTCAACTTTTAAGTCTTTTTTGTTTTTTTTTTTTGAAATGGAAGAAAAATGAAACTGAAAAGTGTTTTTAGAAGTTGAATTTGGCATGTTTTACAAATATTAATTACACAAATTCTGGATTTGCCTCTTTTTTTTTTATTTGTGAAGTTTTATTTGCATATAAAATCTTGGTTGCCCTACAAAGAATAATAACGATTCTTTAATTATCTCATACCATTCCTCTCTCACTATATATATGTCTATTCTTTCTACAGCTCAACTCAGTTTGTACGTAAATTGAATCTTCCAAATGTATGGATCCATGAAAATGTTAATATTACCAAGAATCTGATTTTGTTTTTAGCCAAATGGAAACTTTATTGAAGTTTCTAATAGGAGATTATGATTTCTTTGTATAGGTAAAATGGATTTGTCCGGTCGCTCCAAAACGTCCCGTTACTTCCTGGGGTGGAATTGAAACTACTGCTTGTAAGATATAGTTGGCTTTAAATTTCAAAAAGACACTATTAATAAGTCTTCTAAATTTTTTAATTAAAAACTAATAACATTGTATTATTTAAAATCTTTTTGATGAATTAGGGTGCGATGTCACAGGAATTTCTGAGAACATGGAAGATGATTTGGTTTCCTTAAACTCAATATCTGCATTTGTAATTAACCTTTTGCGTGACGAACCAGAAAATGGTAACCCATAATGATTATATATACGTCACATCCTTAGTTATATAGTATGCATCAAATTTCTTTATCAAATCTATTAATCCAATTAGCTTGATAGTCATGATAGGACTAGGAGGTATCGGCTTGGGTGCAGCAGTAGCTCTCTACTTGGCTACTATTTATATCACTGGACGAAAAATCGGAAACCTAAGTTTTATTGTAGGGATCAACGGCTGGCTTCCTGCTTGGAGGTAGGCTCTTGAAACCCTAATGTCACTTATTAGTTATTACTATTTCAGTATTTCTTAAGGAAACTTAAGTTACAAACCTTTAAAACATGGAAACCTAACTCAATCTTGCAGAAACTTACTTCACAATCTCTCATTTGATTATGGGTCCCCAAGTCTTGCTCCATCAGTATCAATCTTACTAACACATGGAACTTGTATGTGTATATTGCCATCTACATTATCTACTTTACAAAAGATATTTGATGAAGGGTCTAAACATGAATTAACTTCACTTTGTTTTGCTTTAATCACCAATTGATTTTATTTTTCTGAATTTAATTTTGGGGTTATGCCTTGTGCAGGGATCATCTTCCAATTGTTCCCCAAGTAATCAATGATGTTCGCTTATGGATCACAACAAAACTCCAACCCTAGGGTCAATGCTCAACACTGCATAGAGAAAGGAATTGGGGAGCAAAACTATCATATAATATATATTATAAAATATTTTATTTTTATTATCTCTTTTCTTTTCTGGTTCATAATCAATTATATAGGCGATGTACTCTTCGTTAGGAATCTTAAAAATAAAGCTAAAATTTATTTCTTCGTCAAATGTTATAATAAATAAGAGGTTTACTTAGATCTTAATTGGTTACTTTTATTTTTGTGAAATATTTTTAATTAATCTACTATACATTTTTGCAACACTTTTTGGGGACCCTAATCGGGTCGGGTTTTTTTAAAGATTTGACCCGGAATTTTTTATTTTGACCCGACTCATTGGCCAATCACAGCTCTCGGATCCTTTTAAATAAGACTTGCCAAAAAAAAATTCAAGTAATTAGACTCAATATTCGCTTAGTTACTATCCTAATCTACCAAATCCTAACCATATCTAAATGACCCGCATTAAACGTTAGATCTATACTTATGAGACTTTCCTAAAACATTACCAAAGATTTCGGAGTATATAGTATATTCCTACAGTTATTACTAAGAATATTTAGGGGGTGATTGGCATAAGGCTTTAAAGACTTTAGGGCTATTCTAAAGTCTTCACAGCATTTTTTTTGCCAATTAGGCTTTTATGACTTTAATTATTTTTAAAGTTCTCAAAGCCTTCTTTTTTTTTTTCCTTCTTTGTTTTCCTTCTTTTTCTAAAGTCTCAAAAACGTGGCTTTAGATTTCTGGAGACATTTATCAAATGAATAAACAATTAAAAGCTTTTTTTTCTTATCCCCATGATAATTAAAAACTCTCTACATGTTTACATATATCTTTTCATAATGTTTTTTTGTAAATTAATTATTCTCATTTTTCTATCTTTCTTTTAAGATCCATTTCACTAATAATCATTTTATTTTCATCATCATCATTAATGTTGGTTTAAAAGAGTATATAGAATTAGTATTTTTTTCAAAAGCCATATAATTTTTTTAAGGTAATTCCATTTATTACTAATGTGTTGGGTATTAAATTTCCGCATAAAATAATAAATATAAATAAATGTGTGCATTTAGAATATTCATTTCTAAATTTTTATCATTTCTTTTAAATAAATATTTTATTATTAATAATGGATTTTAAGTTCCTACCAAAACAAATAATGGATTATTAGTTTTTTTTCTTATTGCAATGTTTGGTTATTAAAAATGAATGAATAATATATATTATTTTATTTCTAGAGAATATTTATCTATTTATTTATTCATTTATTTATCAATTTATGGTTTTTTTCTAAATTCTTATCATTAATAAAACTATATTTGCATATGAATTCATTTCTAACATAATTTATATTTATTATTAATATATTATAAATATAAAAATAATAATAATAATAATAACAGTCACAGCTTCTACAGTTTTGTGTTACCAATCAGATTTTAACAGCCAAAGTTTTTACAGTCAAAGTCTTTACAGCCAAATTCTCTGCAGCTCAAATTTTTAAAGTCAAAGCTTCTAAAGCCAAAACTTACAGCCGTTACCAATCGGCCCCTTAGTTATAACAAATGTATTTACCGGATTCAACATCTTTCCTATATAGATGCTAACAGATTCGTTAGATATACTTCTTATTATTATTATGTTAACAATTGTACATTGAATATCTTTCCTATTATTATGGGTCGCAATCAATAATACATATTCTGATAATAAAACAGATTTGTTAATCACATCCAATTTAAATGCTAAATATATTCAGCAAATATCTTTTGTTTCCTAATAAAACTGAACAATATAACATTTACATTCAATAGCAACGAGAACAATTGGAAATGTTGCATAACTAAACGATTTTACTCTTATTTTATATAGCATCTATGTAGCATATTCCATAGATTTTCGATTTTAAAGATTTTTAAAAGCATATTTCCATTTACAACTGAAATTAATTTTCGTAGATATCTTAATTTCATTGATTTTTGAAATTAATTCCATAACAACCTTAATTATTATTCATTTAGTTTTTTAATTCTAGGCAATTATAATTAATTCAAAGAGATTTTGCTTGCTCACAAAAGATTTTACGCAAATGTATCACAGCTAAACCTAATCGTATATGTCCTCTATATATATCCATTTCATATCCAAGAGAAAACATCACTTCTAAACACGATCAAAATAATTTTCCAAATACCTTCAATTCTTTTCATCCTAAAATTACCTCTTTTTCATTTTCCATTTGTATGGTTCTTTGTGACATCAACAAAGATTTGACTGGCGATGCCGTCTCAAAAGTCTTAGAATCTGAAAGCAAAAAAGAATTCAGAGAGATACTGTAGAATTAGTTTTAGCGGATGAAAGGTGGTTCAATCGATCTCTAACTAACTCTTTTACTATCATTCTTTATCTGTTATTTCTCAAAAAAATTTGACTTCTCGGTTTTATTTTTCTGAATTGTTTCTT